TTAAGAATCATAAAATCTCCAAAGAGGATAAATTGGCCCATTATCATCTCCTTCCTAGAAGCCCACTAACTCCCATAACCCCCGAAGCAGTTCTGTTTCCGGCAAAAACCTGTGGCCATAAACTTGAAAAGAAGCCAAATCCCCCTCGCCAAGTAATTTTTCCGGCTAAACCTTTTTTGTTTTCCGTTTTTGGGTCCGATTAAACTTTGTTTACCAGACCCACACCAATATGTCAGTTTGTAGGAAAGTAATAAGCACTCTGTCAAAGTCATCGTCCGCCGAGGAAATAAATTGTGAATCAAAGGCGCGAATTCACATGGTTTTCTCGACAGATATATTTTCTGATATTTTGTGCGTCTTCTCAAGAATTATTGGGTTGATGCATAATTATCCGGCGTTGGCGTGTTTATTATTAGTAAAAATTGGCGTTTTGTCAATTTTTTCATAAAAATAATCTTGTCTTTTTACAGGGGAAGTACCCGAAGTGCGACGCTCAGATTTTGATGAAACTTGGCACAAATTTAGAATATTTTTTTCTAAAAAATATGCGAGAATCCTAGCTCGCGCTTTGCAGAAACAACCGAGATTTTTCGGTCGAAAGTTGGCGAAATTTTAACACTTTTTGTTGAATTTCGGCACGAAAAGTTTCATGCCTATTTCTACCATAGAGAGTGATGTTTCCACAAAAAATCAATTTTTTCCGCCCGAAACTGGCAAAGTTATCGCCAAAAAGCGTTTTTCTCTCTGATCGCTCTCCACGTTTAGTGTGCTCTCTCGGCGGCAAGGATCGTTCAATATCTCGGCGGCGCTTGCAAAGCGCGAGCTAAAACTTTCAGGAATTTATATTTAATCTATGCCCGGCATGTGTGCAAATTTTAAAGAAAATCTGAACGTCGCACTCGGGGTACCCTTGTTAGTTAGTAAAAATGCGTGTCGAAAACCATAGTCATATTCGCCATATTATGCTCTACCACTTCGAGTTTTTGCAGAAGCAGAAGGTAAACCTCTCTGGTAATGCTTGGCGCCTAGAAAGTTGCTATCATTCCAAACGACAAGAAATGTAAAAAACTTCAATTTTCCACCAACGAAGACCCGTACAAAATCCATAAAACCCCTCCGTAAAATCCTAATTTCAATTCTAAAATTAAAACGCGAAGATAATCTAGCAAATACCAGATGTTCTTTCTCATTAGATCCTGCAGAGATTCGCGAATTTTTAACGTCCCGAACAAAGTGCAAACGAGAGAAAAAAAACAAAAATAAGTTCACTGAAAATTTGTGGGGACAAAGAAGTAAGTCATGCAAATAACCGGATTGCGTTGGAATACGTATGTACGCAAAGGTTTGCGTGGCTTTTCTTATTATCCGAGCCTATAAATCGGGAGATGGATTGGAGAAGAAAAGGCCCCTTCCATCAGTCTGTCGGGAAAATAATGAGCAAGATGTGGTTGCGTCGTTGAAATGGAAAGAATTTTGATTTCGCCGCGACATAATTTTTTATGCGATTTTCGATGCAACAGAGTGCTAATTATTTCCCTGACAGCCTGATAATTTCGGGGGTTTTCTTTTCGAATCAAAAACCACTAAAGTTTATCTGCTTTCAGATATTATATTCGCCGATTTAATAGGGGAAGTACTCCAAGTGCGACGCTCAGATTTTCTTTAAATTTTGCACACACGTCGGGTATGGACTAAGTAACAACTCCTGAAAGTTTTAGCTCGCGCTTTGCGGGCGCCGCCGAAATATCGAACGATTTTTGCCGCCGACAGAGCACGCTAAACGTGGAGAGCGGTCAGAGAGAAAACACCTTTTTGGCCATAACTTTGGCAGTTTTGTGCAAAAAAATTTGATTTTTTGTAGAAACATTACCCTTTACGGTTGAAATAGGCATGAAACTTTTCATGCCGAAATTCGGCAAAAAGTCTTAAATTTTCGCCGACTTTCGATCTAAAAATCTCGGTTGTTTCAGCAAAGCGCGAGCTAGGATTCTCGCATATATCTTGGAAAAAATCATTTTAAATTTGTGCCAAGTTTCATCAAAATCTGAACGTCGCATTGGAGTACTTCCCCTGTAAGATGTTTTTTGTCAATGTTTCTATGACGAGAAAAAGTTTTCCCGACACTGCGTCCCCCACCGAAAAAGGGGCACTTTAAAAATACAGTACCTTTAAAAGCAGGCCCATTACCCAGCTTGTGAAAGTACCTCCTATCAGGGCTATCCCATCAAAATCTCTCGATTTAAAATCCTTTCCAACGTTGGCTACGGAGGTTGTGAACTCAGATTCGTTTGCCCTTTCGTAATCAGATGTTTTGGCCAAAGAAAAACGTTTTCTCCGGCTCGACGGATTCAGTGATGTGTAAACGACAAAATGTCTTTCAATACGTTTAACGCTTAAGCATAAAATTGCAGGGCTTTCTTAATTCTCTATAATCTGGTCAGCAGGCAAAAAAACAAGAAAAAATTAACTTTGATTTTTAAGTTTGTCTCCGCATAACCGTATCTTAAAACTTTGAAAAAAACCCCAACAATGCAAAAAAAGCTCTCAAGCTAGAGTGCCCACTTTCCCATCAAAAAACATCATGAGCTGAATCGGCCGGACCCGCAAGTCCCATTCGAATGTCATTCCTCTAATATGCCCAACGTTTCTATGGGGACTCCTCGCGATTTTTGGCCTGAATTTTGTGCCCAAAAAATTGAAATAAATAAAAAAGAATGACCAAAAACAACGCCATACGCCCTCCGGATATCCCCCCACGTTTCGACGGAAGTGGGGGTGAGGTGAAAATGAAAACTTTAAATTCTGGCACCGTATTTTTTACATTTTTTTGAAGAGATTGTTGCGACTTGGGAAAATTGCATCGCTCCGAAAAATCGAGAAAACGGGACTATTTCCTCTATGTTGAAGTTATTGAAAGCGTTTCGGGGAGCGACAATTGGGAAAAAGGGCGATTGGGGAAACTGGAAATGGTTTTTCATAGATGTCTGTATCACAATTATGATAATCGATGGTGACTTCAAAAATGAAACTTTTTGATCGTTACTTTTTTTCTTAAGTAGTACTGTAAAGTAAAAATTTTTTAACTTTTTTCACAATACTCGATTTAGGGGTTTTCGATCATGCTGATTTCGAAAATCTTATTCATTTTTTCTGATTTAAAATCAGCAACATCGAAAACCCCTAAATCGAGTATTTGCGAAAAGAAATCGAAAAATTACTACTTTACAGTACTACTTATGGAAAAAAGTAACCATCAAAAAAATGAATGTCATTTTCAAAATCATCACCATTTTTACATAATTGCGACGCATACATTGAAGAAAAACAATACATTTCAGTTTCCCCAGTTATCTTCTTCACCAATCGTCTTCTTCTCCAATTGACGAGGTTCCAAAAATTTGGTCGCTCCTTGCGCTATGCAAATTTTGTCGCTCTCGTAATTTTACACTGTGACTGCACCGTACAGTCGCAAGAATTGCCCTGTGCAATAAGTAGACCCAAAATGTCGGCCAAGAAGACGGAACCATCATCATATCCCATCACTACAAAAATTCCCCTCCCTTTTTTCGCCATTCCCCCCGTCTCTATGCCCTAGGGGCCGATTCAGACGTGGAGTCCATTAAAAAAATGTTTGGATGTTCCGATGCCCATAAAGTCGTGGCCGAAAAAAGAAAACGTCGAAATTCCAATCCGATACAACTTGAATTGCCCATGAACAACATAAATATTTCGGTGAAATGGAGTGCAATGGTTGTCTGACCTTTGGTGGAGCTCCAAAGCTATAAATTATAAATTAGGCACTTGGGTTAGAGAAGGATTATGTTACAAGCATTCTGACCCAAAACCACTGCTTACACCGTGCATTTTTGTTTTTGTTTTTTGCTTGTGTTATGCGTGACACCAATTCTCGCAGCGACAAATCATTTTTTCTTAATTCGAAGCTGCTACAAATTCCCAGGGCTTTTTGAAGTACCCTTAAATCTATTTCCTCCATTTAAACTTGTTCCGTGTTGTCTCCGGTTCCAATTTCCATTTCCGCTATCCCAAAAGCGCAACGCCGAGGCCTTTTCCCATGGTAACAAAATTTTCCAAATTCCAATACTATGCGAAAAGTTTCCAAAGATCTATTTCCAACACAAGAAATGCAATTTAAAAGCTTTCGGGAACTCTTTTCCTTTTACTGGCCCGCCACCGTAGCACTCGAACCCTTGGGGTCCAATTACGAAAAAACCAACTGGAAAAAAGTTTGTAGGCTAGGAACAGCAGCTAATTCCACAAGACGAGCGAGTAATCCATCAACGAGAAACATCATATTCTCTCGGGGATTTAGTGGAACTTGGGTGCAACTCCATTTTTTTGGAGTCTCTGCTATTTTTGAATCGGGCTATTGGAAAAAGCGGATGGGCAATTTGGAGGGCATTATGCCATAATTCAATTTGATAATGTCAGGTTGCGAAAGAATCTTTCAAAAAATGCGTTTTAACTGCAGAAAAATCAAAAAAATTTATTGTGGCAAGCTGGCCAAAACTCCAGCTTAAAACGTTCGTAAAAGCTTGATGCATTTATTAGGACTTGAATGTAATCATTGCTTATACAGTGGGACCCGATCCAGAGGCAAAAAACGTACCATTTTGCACCCAGTAAGCATCAAAAATGTGGCAAAATGCTTCCCTCTCCAAGTGAAAACACTTCGTTTTGAAGGGCGCGCCCTTTCCCTCACAAAAAGAGCGGAATCGGAGGTTTTTTTCACTTGGAGAGGGAAGCATTTTGCCACATTTTTGATGCTTCCCGGATGCAAAATGGTACGCGTTTTGCCACTGGATCAGGTCCTCCACTGTGGCCAGTCTTCATCGCCAGGATGGTGACAGAGAAATGGTCTTTACAACCCGAATAAACGTCAATGTAAAAACCAAAAAAAATTTTTTTATTTGTTTCAAAAGAATGTATCGAACATACAATCTTTTTAACCCGTTTTGTTCGATTTTAACCCATTTCCGCTGCTAAATATCGAAAAAATTCGGGTCAGTCATCCCCGCGAAATCTCGGCCATTCGCATCTCGAGGGTACCATTCATCCAATGGCTCGAAAATGGTTTGTGTGCCCGTATTCTGTTGTCCATTTTCGTATTGTTGTTCCATTTCGTACTCGTCGCTCCATACGTACGTTTGAGTGGCGGCCGTACTCGCATCGCCATACCCATTGAAACTCATGTCATTTGGGGCGTAGAACCCGTGGTCTTGGTAGACCGTCGAGGTTGTCGGCGCTTCGTACATTGTGCTCTGATCGTAGGTGGTCACATCGCCGCTCTGGCACTCCTGATCGAAGGACATTGCACAGAATTGGACGCCGCAATCCGATGTTTGGATGGCCATTTCGTTGGGCTGGAGGGGCATCGAGTCTTGACAATAGCCGTCCGGATCGTATGAAATGTCAGTCTGAGCCTCTGTGGACGACGTCACTGGCTTCAGAATGCATGGAACAACCTTGAGCATTATAACCTTTGGAGTAGGTGGATTTTCGGCCGAAGTCTCCGCTTTTTTCGCATTCTTTGATGACGATGGTAAAGCGGATGCCTCTGGAGTATTATCAGCTGTTCTTTGGGGCTTATTCTTGCTTTCTGAATTCGTTTTCGATCCCTTCCTTGGTTGCAGAGTCAATCTTGAATCTAAAAATATTCACAGTGGGGGACCTGATCCAGTGGCAAAAAACGTCCCATTTAGCATCCAGGAAGCATCAAAATAGTGGCAAAATATCTCCCTCTCCAAGTGAAAAAACTCAGTTTTCAAAAGCGCGCCCGCTCTTTTTGTGAGGAAAAAAAGGCGCGCCCTTCAAAACGAATTTCTTTCACTTGGAGAGGGAAGCATTTTTCCACATTTTCGATACTTCCCGGATGCAAAATGGTATGTTTTTTGCCATAGATCCCAATTGTAATATCATTCTCTCAAAACCCCTTTTCAATGGGAATACAACAACGCTTACCGCCCAAAGCAACGCACATCTTCTTTTTATGGTACTTCAGATCCCTTTCCAAGGAGAACTTGGCTTGGCATTCGTCACACTCAAATTTCTTTTCTCCATGGACTTTTTGATAATGCTGCGCCAACAATTTCCTTGCCGGACAGAATTTCGGGCAGGATGGGCAGTGGAATTGAAATTCCTTTTCTAAAATTATATTTACTAGACTTTTCCGGGAATAATTTTAGTTTTGCAATCAATTTTATGCCGATATCACCCTGACAAAGCCCGAAAAAATTTGAAATACGATTCTTGGGAATGTTACTCACTCTCGTACGCATTCAACCGACTTTGAATTGCCGTATCAGATATAGTTTTCATCTGTTTATGAGTCTTCACCATGTGGAAATTCAAGGAACTCGAATTTCTGAACGTCTTTCCACACTCTTCACAGCATTTTTTTGAGCAGCAGGTCAATTCGGACACTGTGGGGTACACATGTTCCGGCATGCCTAGAAATTCACAAAAATTTCTTCAATCCCCCCATTTATGTATGTTTTCTGACTCCCAACAGTTGGTCAAGTTCAATATAATGAAACGTCTTAAAACTCTGAAAACTTTATTCAAATACTTAGCACGATATTCAGTACTCGTAAAAAAAAATTATGTCGACTCAATACTCTGGAATTCCAAGACAAAAATATAAAAAAACGAAGGTCAAATGGTCTAAAACGAAATAAATGATATTTTTGAAGCTTCACAGAAATAAATAGTATACAAAATGCAAAAAAAGATATTAAAACGCAAACTTTGCAGGCAAAGGTTAAAAAAGGTTCTCGTAAAGAGGTATTAAGCGTCCATTCTTCATCCTCATCATCGATTTGGCACCTTACTTTAGACTTAAAAATTTGGTAAAATTTCAATTCTTTGATATCCGAAACCATTCTGGAACCCCGAAACTTTACTTAAACCTTCTCCTAATCCAAAAAACACCAAATTTCAAGCTTATGAACACTCTTTATCATCTATTTTACCCTAGGACCATCAGAAATGCAGTGACCTCAAAAAAGTTTTATGGAACCATAACAAACCCGTACCAAATTATTGTACACAGAGTTGGGAAGACAGGCAAGTAAACAATGCTTGAATACAACAACAATTACAGTGACGGACCTGATCCAGTGGCAAAAAACGTACCATTTTGCATCCGGGAAGCATCAAAAATGTGGCAAAATACTTCCCTCTCCAAGTGAAAAAAAACTTGAAACCGTAGTTTATTCTCACTTGGAGAGGGAAGCATTCTGCCACATTTTTGATACTTCCCGGATGCAAAATGGTACGTTTTTTGCCACTCGATCAGGTCCCCCGCTGTATAGACAAAGACAATACAAAAAAACCTAAAACAATATTGATCTCACAGAGAACAAAAATGACAATACCTGTCTGAAAAAGTAAACATATGACATCGGTTTAATGCTCTGCGCAAAAAAAATATAAAAAAACTTTACGAAACCTGCATCCTTTCCACCTCTCTAGACCTTGTCATAGCACACACAGTACGTCGCAAGGAAGTAGTTCTTGTCGATAATACAATGCGGCTTGTCTCCGAACTTGTTCACATGACTAATTGACCGAAAATCCACCGTCAATTCGGGTCCGGTTACGTCGTAATTAACAGTCGCTTCGTATATGGCGGCGCCCGGCTGTGTTTGCAACTTGATCTGATATGTGAAGAAAGTGGCCTTAGTGTTGCCTTCTAGCTTCGGTACAAACCCATCCGCATCCTTCACACCATTATATTTGAGGAGATCTTCGTTGGGGATCAATCTTTTGGCCGATATTACTTTCTCCAGTCGGATTTCCGAGCACAACTTTCTTTCTGGCTTGGTGTAATCGTTGATGGTCTTGACAATGCCTTCAGCGAGGAGCGTGGAGAGTTCCTTTTGCTGGTCGGACTTGAAGGCGTCTTCCCAGCTAAGGCAAGTACACCAATGAGAGGCGATTCCAGCCTGAAATTATCGTCGAATTAACAGGAAAGCTTCGCAAATCCACGCAAATTTCATAAAATTTTCATAATTAAACCTCAAAAAAATTTTTTTTGCATCTCAAAAGAGCAGCATTTCCCAAAAAATTATTCATAAAAAAAAACTAATTCCCCCCCCTCCCAAGTCCATTTGTATTCCTAGCTCCATGGTGATTCAACGTTCCCGGCCCTCTTTACAGGCCTTCTCGACCCTTTCCCTTTATATTTCTCGTTTTCGCTTCCATTTTCACCTGTCCTGTACAAAAATTTCGCTTTGCTATCTCTTCCTCCAGATCACGGGAAGAATGTCAGTACATAAACTGATAAAAACAAATTTTTAAACGGGTATCAGTCTGCCGGGAAAATAACGGCGGATCGTCGCATCAAAATGTCTCTCCTCACCACTATCGCGCGCCAAATCTCCAGCTTCGGCAGCCGTCGCAAAGCGATGATGGGCGATTTCGAGGCGCGACGATCCGCCGTTATTTTCCCGACAGACTGATATTTTCCTAAACTATCTATGCCACCATCGCTTTTACAAGGAAAGTACTTTTATGGGGCTCCTACTTTTTTTGACGGGACATATCTCAAAAAACCAGAGAAATTGTGCTGATCAAGGATATATAAAAAATAGCTGCTCATATTAGGTTTTTAGGGGTGAAAACTCAATCGGAAGTTGACTTAAAGTCCTATATAAACCCCTTTTCGCTTAATTTTTCACAGGCTTACAACTTTTATTTTGGCTTAAAATGATGTTTATTCAGTTTCCAAGAAGTAATAAATAAGTCTTGGCACAAAAATTCATTTTTCAGACCTTCAACTTCAAAAAAAGTTGACCGTGCCGCATCGTCTCTATTGATTCCCAGACTACGGCACTAGCCACTCGGCCACACCGCTCTCTTCCGAAGGAAGAGACCGAATGCGCTTTTTATCGTTTCGAATGCCTGTGCCTTTTGCAGGGAAATTAAGCCAGTTTTTGGGCATTTTCACCCCTAAAACCCTAAAATGGGCAGCTAATTTTTATATATCCTTGATCAGCACATTTTTTCTGATTTTTTGAGACATGTCCCGTCAAAAAGTAGGAGCCCCCATAAAAGGCATTCCTTGTTAGACCTTCTTCTTACCTGTTCACAAGTTCTGCTCTCCGGAACTTCTCTGAACAATGACAATTCCCTGTTTTTCGCCGGATCTTGAGGTGTTTTCAGCATCTCCACGCTTGGGAAATGGAGAATGTCCAAAAGAGTTGGGTGGAGATCGAAGGGAGTTGTGAGGCGGCCCTTGTTCTTCTTCAGATTCTCGTATGCAACCCTTCCTTTCTCCGTTTGTCTGAACTTTTCCGGTAGTGCCAATGACATGAATGGGAGTCTTTCCTCCAGTTGACCTTGCTGAGTTGCCCTTATTTTCGCGAATCGATTTCCATGATCAGCCATGATGATTACCAACGCATTATCAAAGTAGCCATCCGTTTTGAGTCTTCTCAGCATGTCTCGGAAGTCCTCATCCGCCAATTTGATTTGATTTATATCGTCATGAGAGAGGATGGCGTGGAACATGAGGAGGAATTTCCTCGTGTCCTTAGGGTATTTGCGCATAAAATCCTCGGCGTATTTGAACCACACCTAAAATTAATAGAGGTTACGTCTTTCTAGATCAACCAGCAATTTATTTGCAAATACTGAACACCTAGGAATTCGAACCGTCTCGAATTTCTAGGGGCCCAGTCTGATGTCTATGGAGTATAAATTTCCGTCCAAAATCAGGTATTCTGAGTTGGAATATTTCATTTTTAAACTCTTTGTGCAACTTTACACCATCTTTAACAGTTTCCCTCCGTTCACGTTCACAATGTTCTAAACAGCTCAGATTGAGCTTTTCTTTTCGGCCCATCTGATACAGTGGGGGCAAAAAACGCACTACTTTGCATCCGTGAGAAAAGTGTGTAAATTTTGATTGATTTGAAAGATTCGATGATACAGAATCAATGGTAAATGGAAGAAGTCGTAAAGGCAAGACGTTAGTTCGAAGAAATTCCTGATTTATTAGCAGAAACTTATATTGTACTATATACAGTGGGGACCTGATCCAGTGGCAAAAAAAAGTAACATTTTGCATCCGGGAAGTATAAAAAAATGTGGCAAAATGCTTCCCTCTCCAAGTAAAAAAAAACTTCGTTTTGAAGGGCACACCGTTTTTTCTCACAAAAAGAGCGGGCGCGCTTTTGAAATCGGAGTTTTTTTCACTTGAACAGGGAGGTGTTTTGCCACATTTTTTGATGCTTTCTGGACGCAAAATGGTACGTTTTTTGCCACTGGATCAGGTCCCCAACTGTATATAGTACAATATAAATTTCTGTTAACAAATCAGGAATTTCTTCGAACTAACGTCTTGCCTTTACGACTTCTTCCATTTACCATTGATTCTGTATCATCGAATCTTTCAAATCAATCAAAATTTACACACTTTTCTCCCACCTGATGTTTAATACAATATAAATTTCCGTCCAATAATATAAAATAGCCAAAACCCATGTTTTCGTCCGCTATCTATTCGCTATTTACCACGCCATTTTTCCATCTCACCTTGTGTTCCGGTTCGGGCCCATCGCATCTGATATTTTTTGCGAATTTCTCCGCATACTGAAAGAACGTGCGAGTATAATGGTCCGCCGGTTGATTTTTGAACCCCTTCAATCTGTAGGTGAAGGTTCCAATGGCTGCCGCATCCTCCCCATAGACTGTGGTGTATCCAGCTTGGCTGAAATTCTGCCAAACAAATGGATACGCTTCATCGACGTATTTTGCGCCTTTAACTCTTTTCCTCGTCATTGGAAGCTCCTCTTCGGTTTGTCCAGTCAAAATTGGGATAAATGCTTGTGGGGTTCCATCTCCAACAATATTGTAGCCGTCCAGGACAACGGATCCGAGCTCTTTTTCCAAAAATTCCACGGTTTTTGGGAGCGACCTTCTATAGGCTTGTTGAGAAAGGGAATCAAAGCCCATAAAGAAGACGTTCAGGCCACTCCAGTCTTCTGCAGGCTGCACGTCCTTCGATTTCTCGATGAACTTTTGTCTTGGGACCATGTTCATAAACAGTCTTTCCCAACTTTCTTCTTTGTGGTCACACTTCAGCAGGAAATAATCAGTCTTGTCCAATTTATCTCCAATTTTTACGGATTTTGATGGTTCCCATTGAAGATTATTGTCGTCAAGTCGCTCAAAAAACTCCGCAGTGCATTTCAGAGCGTCTACTGACAGTCTGAAACCATCGCATCATCAAACAATATCAAAAAAAAATTTCCAATCACATGGAATTTTTTCCAAAAAAATAGAAATTACACAGTTTCTCCGTAATCTGTAAGTTTCAGTCTGTTCTCCATGTCCAATTCAAGCCAGTGAGGATCTCCTGAGCACCCTAATGGAGGCGGTGGAGCATCAAATTCCATGATTTCTGGGTTGTTTTTGTCCAATTTCGGGATTTTGCAAGTCTAAAGATCAAGAAATCAAAGAAAAAAGTGGGTCAACTTACAGCTCCCTGCGCTGTGATGGATTTCTGGTCTTTCCTGTCGGCATTTTGACCAGTAGCAGTGAGTTTCAGGGTCTGATTCTGAAAACATGGGTAATAGTAGAGAACGATAAGATTTTTGTTATCTAATCAACTCCCATAGCTCAAAAATTTCCGAGAATAGAAAGCTGGGACATTAAAAAGAACTGGAGCTCAGTTTATAACAGTTTGATCAAGAATCGTCAAAAATACATGGGCATCTTCATTAGACGCTCAAGTATAATATAATCCTAGATTTAACAAAGCACATGGCTTTTCCTCAAAATAAAAAGTTGTGAAGTATCAACACAACACTATATTTTCCATTAGGAAGAAAAATTTGACATTCCAATGACTAAAAATTCAGAAAATATAAAAGAAATACTTACATTGGGTCCCAATAGCTTTGCCAACAAGCTGATTGCCGTTGTTTGCATAGACCGCTCTGGTTGGACATCGATCCTCTCGCTTGACGGTACCAGCACAACATAAAACAAGGTCAGCAACGCCAACCCCAGAGTCACCCAGAAGAATCTGCGAAAAGCCAGTTGGACGGAGAACTGTCGGATGGCCCGCATCGCTGAAAAGTAAGTCTTTCCAAGGGCGCATTAGACAAATAAAGCAAGCAAAATGGCTATTACGGAGTTTACGAGCTTTGTAGGAAGATTTTCGTGTGGAGAACCCGGAGTTTTAGTAGTTTTAGCTTCTCAAAATGGGCCTATTCTGAGAAGGATAACAAAAATTTTTATCGCGACCGCTTTATGTGAATGGTGCAACAGTAAAAGGGACTCGTTTACAAGAAATCAATCACTGAGATTGAGAAAAAATCAGTCAAAATCAGCGACAATATCACAGTTCTTTATGTGTAATATCAGACAGAAAAAGACTAAACAATGCTCGAAAACTTTGACTAGATCGCTTCCGCGATATCGAAAGCCTTGTTCTTGCCCAGCTGTGGCCACAAAAAAAGGATAAAAGCTCTGTTTATTACAATAAACATCAATTAAGGTCGACATGTATAACATAAAGTCAAGCGATTTTCGATCTCAAAACAAAAAACCGATACCTTCACTGACGGTGAAGGAATCGGAGAAGTGGAATTTTCGCCATCCACATCAGTTTTACAATACGTTTCCATTCCTTTACAAAAAAGAAACTCCACATGTTTGAAAGAAGTGGAAATTCACTGTAAACATCAAAAAAGCGTTCCGAAAACGGCTCCTCCGAAAAAACGGCATTCCTGAGTGACAGAGTAAAAAGAGGGTCCAATTGTTGAAAAATCCAAAGCGAGCGCAGTGTAAAAAAATAAAAAAAAATCGTGGTCAGGTGGCAAGTGTAATATAAAAACAAATGGAGGCCTCGCGAGGCGATATCTATCAGAATTGTGATCTCGAGAATAGAAACCTTGCAGAAAATGCCGTTCTTGGACAAGTCTCGAACTTGGCAAAAAATATTTTTCGTACGCGAATCGCAAAAATTAGAATTGTGAACGAAATGTCACAAAATTTATCGAAAATTTAAAAGCCTTGCAACACTTTTCTATCGGTCTGTCGGGAAAAAAACGGCGGATTGTCGCGCCTCGGAGTCGCTCATCATCGCTTTGCGACTGCAAGCCGCGACTTGGGATTTGGTGCGCGATAGCGGCGAGGCGAGACATTTTGCTGCGACAATCCGCCGTTATTTTTCCGACAGACTGATAATTTTCTATAAATTCTGAACGTTTGAAAAAGCCTAATATTTTAGGAAAGCTGGTGGGTCAAGCTTGCTTATGAGCAGATATTCCATGGTTAAAATTTCGGCTCCGGCTCTTAGCTCCCAGAGCCGGAGCCGAGGCCAAATTTGCAGATCCGGCTCCCATGAAAAATTTAAAAAGGTCTCTGGCTCCGAATCGCGGCTCCTGCGCAAAAAAATTTTAAAAATATTTTTTCAAACATAGAAGTTATTAGTGCCAGAGATCATACACCCAACGTTTTTGCAGCCAAGTTGTATGCAACACATTCTTCCACGAATTTTTCAAACAATTTGGTTTAATAAGATCCTGAAATTTTTACTTTTCTGAAACGCTGCAGCCCGGCTCCGACTTTGGCTCGGAGCCGGAGCCGCACCCAAAATTTCCGGCTCCGGCTCCCGGCTCGGAGCCGCTCAGAGCCGGAACCAAGAGCCGGCTCCGGAGCCGTGGCAATCTCTGCTTATGAGCCCATAAAAGAGTACCAAAAAATTAGAACTTACGTTCAGCGAGTTTCTCATAAGTATAAACAGAATTCATATTAGATCGCCAGTGCAATATAAGCAACCGAATTGAAGAATTTCTTTGTCTTAGGAGCAATCAGACATGATTCTTTCCGATAATTTTCCAGAAAAACTCTTCAAGTCACGCCTAGTGTATCGTCAATAGGTGCGGTTTAGACAGTGAAAAAACTAATCATTTTGTGCTTAAAATTAGCGTCGAAACTACAAATTGAATAAGATCTTCAAAGATAAAAAAAGTTGAAAACGAGTTGAAGCAATAAGACTTGTCGAGAAGATGGGGGAGGATGCGGATCAGATAAGGTGCGAGAGTTGCGCTACAAACAACGTGTTGTTTGGGACGGCGGTAAACTCGTTGTTGAAACTTGTTTTACAGTAACTTGGAAGGTCAAGGCGCCCTTTGGTCCCGAGTTCTAGCCAAAGCTTCATACATGTTGAGGCTAGGGCGCAGTCTGCCTTCCCGAAGTGTGATACAAAGAATTTTTTGTATATTGTCCATAATTTCCATCCAGCAACGGCATATAGGCATCAATCCGCCTAAATTCAACCTCCGTATCAATTTTACTGTCATCAAACACTGAACCCCCATCCTGGGCGCGGCTCGCCGAGATCTGAATGACTCTGCATTCGCGGCAAAAAGCTCTTGGAATTTTTCGCGGCCCGAAAATTTTGTCGCACTCCGAAAAATTGATTTGTCGCTGCGAAAAATGGGAAACGCGCGCGACATAAGGCAAAAAAAAGACAAAATGCAGCAGAATGTCTCGCCTCGCCGCTATCGCGCACCAAATCCCCAGCCGCGGCTTTAAGTCGCAGAGCGATGATGGGCGATTCCAAGGCGCGACGATCCGCCGTTATTTTCCCGACAGACTGATAGAAGCCCCCAAATCAGATTCCTACCGTAACCCAATCAGCAAACTCGAAGTGACCCCAAGCAACTACTCATAAGGCCCATTTATATGCAGATGTTCCTTCTTACAGGGGAAGTACTCCAAGTGCGACGCTCAGATTTTCTTTAAATTTTGCACACACGTCGGGAATAGACTAACAAGGGAAGCACCCGAAGTGCGACGCTCAGATTTTTATAAAAATTGGCATAGATGGAGATCAGAATTTTCTAATTCGATTGCGAACATCCTAGCTCGCGCTCTGCAGAATCCGCCGAGAAAGAAGGGCACGGCTTGCCCAAATAGACTAAAATCGGAGAAAAAAACGGACACGGCCTTCGCAGCTCGCGCCCTATCCTTGAAAAATTGCTGAGAAGTGCCCCTTAGAGTTGATGCTCAAAAAGTACAAAGCGCTTATTATCACATAAAACAATCTTGATAACTATTTTCTTTGAATGTATGTCATCTATTTAAGCTATCATTCATATCGTTGCCATTTCTGAATCGGGAAATATGGGCCCCTCAATATCAGCAATTTTGATGTATCTTGTACAACATGTATATATTCGAAAAAGTAAAGTGAACAAAATTCCATCTACAATTCCATGGAGACGTTGCAGATGATGCTCCAAAAAAAGTTTCGTCCAAATTGGACAATTTTTTGGGGTACTTCAACGTTTCCCACTGCAAATGGAGCATTGCCTACTTGTGGAGCCGCAGTTCTCTTTGAAAAACCACAAAATTTGTTGGTTTCTTTGTGTTAGTTAACACAGTTGTTAGTCTATTAGTAGGCTAGATACTCTTTACAGCTTCAGGAATGAGAAAACAAAAGTTATGTTGAAATTTGTAAAAAAGTGACAAACAGGTCCCCATGTACAACATCCCATAACACAGTCAAATAATGGACTTCGTTAAAAAACATCTACAATTCCACAATAAACCTATCGAAGGAAATGTACACAAGTTTTCAGACTTCTGAGACAATTTTTTGACACACTTCAACGTTTCCCATTGATTTAAGATGATATTTCGTATTTTTGAATTCCATCGGTTAGCGATCCCCCGTGTGGGGAAGAAGGTCGATTAACAATTTTCTAGTTCTAAAAACATCAAAACATGCTTATGGGTGCTTATTGGACTCGTCTTAATCCAATTTTATCAAAAGTAAATATTGATGATAATAGGTATGTAATGTGACTTGCCACAAAAAGCTAAGACGTCTGATTTTTGAAAAATGCATCTACCATTCCACAGAAAACCGCCTGATGCCTGTATGGTCTAAATTTCAGCTTTCTAAACCGAGGTTTTGACCATGTTCAACGTTTCCCACTAGGCAAGCTCAATATCTGGAAATTACAAATTTTGTAAATTATATAAAATAAGCCTTAGTGTAAGGTAATGCAGGGTGTATATGACACTTATTAGCTAGTCTTTTCAATTGAAGACAACTTTCAACATTGCATCATTCAAAAATATTGAGTTACCCCCGATAATTGATACAGTTGACACATACATCAATATCGAAAATATTTGATTGGGGACAAGGCTCGGTTTGCTTCGAAATAGAAGATTACGATAAGTACTAATAATGACAGATATACTCGTTGCAATTTTTAAGCTTTTTGATAGATTTTGTGAGATTTCACAGGCAAAGTCATGAAACTTAACCCCTTGGCTCGTGGCAAGTATAGTATTCGCGCATAGGTAAGTCAGAGTGGCCGATATTGACGAATAAAGTTTGTGTACTATTATTATCAAACAAAGCCTATTCTCAAGCATCCTTTTCAGGCAACATCCACGTATTATCCATGTTTACCAAAATTCATTAAATTTAATGTCCAAAAATGATATTTTTGTGGTAATGATTTTTTGTGGTATGTGCGCGTTGGTGTAAAATGGGTTTTCTACCAATTCCTATCAATATTGACAGTTCTGCTTTCATTCTGACATAAAATAAGATTAGAAATGTTTCATCGTATAAAATGTCGCTAATTCTTCTTTGGACGTTTTTTTCTCCATTTGGGCAAGCCGTGAGGGCCGGAATATCGAAAAAAATCTTCAAATGCCGACGAATTTCCCTGCAAATTCTCTTGATCTTGGCATTTCGTTCCAGGAGAAAAATATTTTTTCTCGCAAGAAATTTTTTCTTGATAATGTTCAAGACTATTTTGTTGCTTTTATGTGGAATATTGTGTGTTATTTTCATTTTTTTACACTCTGGACATGATTCTAGCGCTATTAATTGGATTGTCGCCATCCGAGGGGTAAAATGTTTCGTCCTTTGACGAATTTATACAGTTTTTCCTCTGCAGATGGGCAAACCACTCTAATACAGGGTGCGGCAATTTTTCGGCCGGATTTTAATTGGCCATAACTTTTTTAGTTTTTGGGCAAATGTTAAAATTCTTTTTTTCCCTGAATCCATAGACAGCCCCATTTTGTTTAATATCAAATATGTTATACCCGTTCATTAGACTACAGTAAAAATTCGAGACAAAGAAAAAGCCCTAATTTTCATAGCTGACAATGGAATTACCGCTAGTGCGACTCTCAGATTTTCTTTAAATTTTGCACATGGGCCGGACATAGGCCACATATCAATTCCTGAAAGTTTCAGCCCGCGTCTTTCACGGGCGGCCAAGATATTCAACGATCTTTGCGGTCAGGAGGGTACTTGAGTGGTCACACAGAAAAACTTTTTGGCTCCAGCTTTGTGTGGAGAAAGCTGATTTTTTGTGGAAACGGTATTCTCTATGGCATGAAGAGGCATGAAACTTTTTACGACAAAGTTCTTTTAAAAAAACTCATTTTTTCTAGCGATTTTAACACACGCCGAAAAAGCAGAGAAAACGACCGAAAGGCCAATAACTATGAACTAGGTCCCTGTATATATAACATATTTGGTATTAAACAAAATGGGGTTGTCTGACGATTCAGGGAAAAAAAGAATTTTAACATTCGGATAAAAACTAAAAAAGTTATAGCCAATTCAAATCCGGCCGAAAAATTGCCGCACCCTGTAGTTGCTTTAAAGTTGTTTAGGAGACATGCAAACGTTCTACGGTCGTGTATGAATGTAGTCATAAGGTAAGTGTTACAAACATTTTATTTTTTCACTATTTTTCAGTTTATGCCATTTCAGAAAACAAAGAAAGGTCCCAAGGTGTTCCGTCAGTGTTCCGATGGTGTACATTCGCTCTTGTTGTTGTTCAGAATTTGCTCACTGAAAAATAATAAAGTTTTTGTAACACTTACTTTAAGATTATGTTCATACACGACCGTAGAACGTTTGCATGTCTCCTAAACAACTTGAAAGCAACTATTAGAGTGGTTTGCCCATCTGCAGAGGAAAAACTGTATAAATTCGTCAAAGGACGAAACATTTTACCCCTCGGATGGCGACAATCCGATTAATAGCGCTAGAATCATGTCCAGAGTGTAAAAAAATGAAAATAACACACAATATTCCACATAAAAGCAACAAAATAGTCTTGAACATTATCAAGAAAAAATTTCTTGCGAGAAAAAATATTTTTCTCCTGGAACGAAATGCCAAGATCAAGAGAATTTGCAGGGAAATTCGTCGGCATTTGAAGATTTTTTTCGATATTCCGGCCCTTCTTTCTCGGCGGATTCTGCAGAGCGCGAGCTAGGATGTTCGCAATCGAATTAGAAAATTCTGATCTCCATCTATGCCAATTTTTATAAAAATCTGAGCGTCGCACTTCGGGTACTTCCCTTGTAAATATCAATTCCTGAAAGTTTTAGCTCGCGCTTTGCGGGCGCCGCCGAGATATCGGACGATTTTTGCCGCCGAGAGAGCACGTTAAACGTGGAGAGCGGTCAGAGAGAAAAGCGCTTTTTGGCCATAACTTTGGTATTTTCGTGCGGAAAAATTTGATTTTTTGTCGAAACATTATCCTTTACGGTAGAAACAGGCATGAAACTTTTCGTGCCGAAACTCGGCAAAAAGTCCAATTTTCGCCGACTTTCGATCGAAAAATCTCGGTTGTTTCTGCAAAGTGCGAGCTAGGATTCTCGCATATATCTTAAAAAAAATTATTCTAAATTTGTGCCAAGTTTCATCAAAATCTGAGCGTCGCACTTGGGGTACTTCCCTTGTTAGCCTACATAATTTGACCAGCAGAAATAAAAGGCCAGTCAAATATTGTTATAGCGGTGTGGACAAACAAAGGTAAACAATGAAACGGCAGTGTTCCAATTGGTAATTTATTGCAGGTAGAGCAACCTACATACTGATATTGTTCAGCCAAAAAAAAGAAGTGCAAATAGAGAAAAAAGGAAGTCTAAGAATTACATTACTGTATTTGTATTACATTACTGTAGGTCAAAAAGATAACAAAAATCGGCCTACAAAACAGCTGAATGTATCTGATGTTCGTTCCAACTGTTATTTTCTTGCCTCCTACAGTGTCGGCTGCCATTTTTTTAATCATGCGATATGAGATCTTCTATTCAAAATCTCATAATTTGAGACTTTTTCAAAAAAGTCTCAAATTTTTCTGGGCCATAAATTTGTCACATTCAGATCCAAAAAGATGTTTGATCGCTTTCCATTAGCATAATGTCCCATTTCATATCGGACAGAATTAATCTCATGCATTTCCCACCCATTTTTGTTTGCACTTGATACGGCTAAACCTCTCGATCTATTCGTCTTCTTTTGCGCCACAAAACCGCGAAAGGCGAGATCATTCGTTGGGAACAGGCAAATTTCTATTGATAATGTGTCTTTTAAGCTACCCTTTGCACTAGGGAAGTACTCCAAGTGCGACGCTCAAATTTTCTTTAAATTTTGCACACACCTTGGGCATAGACTAGACATCAATTCCCGAAAGTTTTAGCTCGCGCTTTGCAGGCGTCGCCGAGATATTGAACCATCTTTGCGGCTGAGAAAGTACGCAAAACGCGGAGAGAGGTCGGCGAGAAAAACACTTTTTGCCCATAACTTTGCCAGTTTCGTGCGGAAAAAATTGATTTTTCATGGAAATATTACCCTCAGCAGTAGAATTAGGTATGAAACTTTTTGTGCCGAAATTCGGCAAAAAGTCTCAAATTTTCGCCGACTTTTGATCTAAAAATCTCGGTTGTTTCTGCAAAGCGCGAGCTATGATTCTCGCATATATCCAAGAAAAAATTATTCTTAATTTGTGCGGTTTCATCAAAATCTATGCGTCTCACTTGGGCTACTTCCCCTGTCAGTTTTATTTATAGCTTTATCAAAAAAAAAATCATTTATTTCTGACCAAAACGATGATTTTGCCAATATGTTGATGACCGGTTTAATTCTTTCCACTTCACTGAGCCCTTTGGCGGCTAGAATTCGTCAAAGATGGTCTCCATGACTAATGTGTGCTTTGACCAAATAGATCGTTTCGAGACCATCAATCATCGAAAAATAATGTTGTTCCTGAGATTAAAGGCTCTTCGGAGGGAAAACATGGTCATAAATGGCATTTGAGTGCCGTTAGCTCCTTATATCAGAGTTTACAATATACGTAGAAAGCGAACGGATTTTTATTTTTTGTTGGCCAGAATTGTAGATAGTGTATTTGAACTACAGTGGCGTTCAATTTTATAATGATTCTTGGAGAGTTATTTGGGCAAAACAGGATTTTTGGACGATTTTTGGGCAGATTTGCGACGTTTTGATTAAACTTGGCACACATTTAGAACAATTTTTCCTAAAATGTATGCGAGAATTCTAGATCGCGCTTTGCAGGAACAACCGAGATTTTTAGCTCGAAAGTTGGCGAAAATTTGACAATTTTTGCCGAACTTCGGCACGAAAAGTTTTGTACGTATTTCTACCGTAAACGGTAATAGTTCCATAAAAAATCAATTTTTTCCGCATGAAACTAGCAAAGTTATGGCCAAAAAGTGTTTCTCTCCCTCTGACCGCTCTCCACGTTTAGTGTGCTCTCTCGGCGGCAAAGATCGTTCAATATCTCAGTGGCGCTTGCAAAGCTCGAGCTAAGACTTTCAGGAATTGATATTTAGTCTATTCCCGACGTGTGCGCAAAATTTAAAGAAGATCTGAGGGTTGCACTTGGGATACTTCCCTTGTTAATTGTAATACATTGTACTATAAAGAGCGCTCCAGTTTCCGGCACATCACCTATAGCACAATAAATACGCTCTTTTCCATAGTTTTATACCTGATTATAATAAGCTTATTACGGCTCTTCCGTAATCCCATGTCGAAATTTATTGCGCAACAAATTTCGTTTATTCGCGGCACGAAATTTTCATGCCGCAAATTATCGCTGAACCTCCTTTTTTTATTTGATTTTTATTTGATCAAGGCTAAACGTGTCGCGACGGCGAGTGCACACAAAAGGCGGCGAGATCGGAGAGAGAAAAGGTGCGCTGGACGGAGGAGAAAAGGTTTCCGCAGCAAAGTTGCTCAACGTCGCTTTTCACTCTTTTTTTGGAGATTTTTTTGACGGGAAAATCGCAGTTTTCGCGAATAACTGGTGCAAAACAAATCAAATCGAGTATTTTTTAGTGTCGCTTGGTATTTTGAAGGTAATACAGAGGGGGTTCTCAAATTTCAACAGACTATTCATCTTCTTTTCGCTTGGTTTTACGATTTTCGCGTGGAATTTGAGGATTGGGAGAAGAAAATGGTTTTGAAATGGGCGTTATCGAAGCTTTTTATCAAAAATTTTGTGTTGACGAGTAGTTACAGTCGTAATCGCGCTTATACCAGCGATGTCAACTTTTGAGCTGCTGAAATTTTATGAATTTTATCTTGTTTTGAAGATTTTAGGTATCAAAAATATTCCTTTTACAGTTTCGCTGTAGTATCGCGGTTTTCAGCTTCGAATGTCCAATATTCGGCAATATGTTGTCTAATTTCAGCTTTTGATTTCAGCTTCAGGCTCCAAGCCTCCCCCTTTTATATTATACTTGACATTCCACGTGGCGTTGCGCAACTGGAAAGCGCGCTCATTGCGGAAATTTGCACTGGATTATAGGTTATAGAATATTTAGCAAGAAGAAAGAGATTAAAGGGAAAACATGAGTTGTTCTTGCATCTTCATCTTGGACATGAAGGGGAATGTAAGTTTTTAATATTTTGTATTGAATTTTAGGATTTATGGTTGAAGAATAATCGTTCCTAGAGCTTGCCGAAAGCATAATACAGCTTTAAGGATAGAATTGGCTTCCTTGCGCTGCATTTTTCCACTATTTTCGATCAAACTATGTTGTTTTAGGTAATAATGTCGAGGAATTATCGAGGAGACGTGGAAATGTCAGAGATTGAAAAATTTATGCCTTTGTTGATGGAAAGGGAAGATGAGGGTAAAGTGTCGCCGGTGCTAGAGCGTGAAGACCTCAGCTACATCTACATTAAACACATGAACATCTACTGTAAGTCATCGGTAATATAAAAAGTCGATCAAAAATATCCGTTTGCATTCAAATATTTTCAGTAGTATCAATGTCACGTAAGAACGCCAATGCCACGCTAGTTTTATCGTTTCTTTACAAGTGTGTTGACGTTTTCACCAGTTACTTCAAAGATCTGGAAGAAGAATCGGTCCGAGATAACTTTGTTGTGATATACGAGCTTCTCGACGAAATGATGGACTTTGGCTATCCGCAAACAACGGAGCCAAGAATATTACAAGAATATATTACGCAAGAGACGCATCAATTGGAGATTGCGCCGAGACCACCAATGGCTGTTACAAATGCTGTCTCCTGGAGGTCCGAAGGGATAAGATATAGAAAGAATGAGGTGTTTTTGGATGTTATTGAGTCGCTCAATCTTTTGGTAAGTTTTTTGACTTTGTTGTTCGGAGTTTAGGGGATTGATGAAGCCGCAGGCTGCGCCCAGGGATAATTTCAAATCTTGGGTTTAGCGGCTGAAAATTTGCAAATTTTGTTGTGATTTACGTCTAACGTACTTCATACACCTGTGCAAAGTCAAGACGACAAAATCTGCAAGTCTCAATCCAATTTTATTGGATCTAAAACCATAAAATTCTCCCTAGTGGATCTAAAACCATATAACTCTAATTTCAGGCGAATGCTAATGGCACTGTCCTTCGCAGCGAGATTGTTGGCTCGATTCGCATGCGGGTAATGCTCAGTGGAATGCCCGAACTCCGTCTTGGCCTCAACGACAAAGTTCTTTTCAATACTTCCGGTGGCGCCCGAGGCGGAAAAGCCGTTGAATTAGAGGATGTAAAGTTCCATCAATGCGTACGACTGAGCAGATTTGAAAGCGAACGGACTATCAGCTTTATCCCACCGGATGGCGACTTTGAGTTGATGAGCTATCGACTAAACGCGACAATAAAACCATTGGTGTGGGTGGAAGTTTCCGTGGAGAAGCATGCACATTCCAGAATTGAGTTTATGGTTAAGGTAAGGGATGGGTTTAGATGCTGTTTAAGAACTAATAACCAGATTGGACAGCGAAAATTTTTAGGAACTAACGAAAATTTGAAAGAAAAAACATTTTTGGCCAGAAAATCATCAATTTTCGATTGAAAACGATGATTTCGGGATGAAAATTTTATTCAAAATTTTTTTTTATATTTTTTTAGAGTTTTGACCTTACTTATTTTTAGGCCAAGTCCCAATTCAAACGCCAATCGATTGCCAATCATGTGGAGGTCTTCATTCCAGTACCATCGGACGCCGATTCCCCGAAATTCAAAAGCTCGGTGGGGTCGGTGAAGTATGTCCCAGACAAACGGGCCTTCGTCTGGACGATCAGAAGCTTCCCCGGCGGACGGGAGTACTTTATGCGAGCACACTTTAGCCTCCCGTCCATTGAATCGAGTGAAGAAGAGATTCGACTTCCCATTAGAGTGAAATTCGAAATTCCATATTTTACAACGTCGGGTTTACAAGTAAGCAACTGATTTTCAAAAATATGAGGTCGTTGGCTGATAATCGAGATAGCATTTTGTATTTTTGTTGGAAGTTTGAGTCCCACCACGAAAACTTTTGATTTCGAAAGCACTGGCATTCTGCAAGATCCTTTCAAATAGGCCAAATAAGATCAGCTTAAGAACAAGTTTAAGATTAGTTATAACGATTCATGAACCACAAATGCATTAAAATTTTTTGATTTTTGCAAATTTCAGGTGAGGTATCTAAAAATCATTGAAAAGTCGGGCTACCAGGCGCTGCCTTGGGTCCGCTACGTCACCCAAAACGGCGACTATCAAATACGAATGGCGGACAAGTGATACTTCCTAATTTTCTGTGATTCCCCTTTTTTAGCGAGTTTTTTTCATATCAAAACTACGATTGTTGCATATCAGTCTTGTCTAGAGCAGGTATGAAAACTACCATAAATTATGAAAAGATTTTTGAAATCATTGTTTTTGCAGCTCAATTTGTCTATGCCGCTAAATATTTATTTGGTATAAAAAATAAAAATATATATTTTTGACTAGATTTTTTTGGAATTTATTTTTAATTTAATTACGGAAAGTGGCAAGCGTTTTTTGTTTCGATGAGGACATGAGTAGTGTCAGTTGAACGATCAGAATGAGCATTGGGGATTTGACCGCATTTGAGCGGTTAAAAATGTCAAACAAGTTGTCAAAACGTGATTTATGAGTGTTCCGAAGGCTCTTTAAAATAATGATTTTACAATGGTTGGAAGAGGACTAAATATGCGACTAGGAATTGCCGTAAAAATGGGTTCTAGGTTAAATTTAGGGACTATTCTTTCGCGTATTTAATTTGTAATAGAATTTTGTTGCAAGTTGCAACAAAAAAATCAAAACATTAAAAGAAAAAAACAAAGATCGATTTTGTTACATAAATTTATTGGCGATTTACATGCTGAAGTAACAGAAAAGAAAGGTAAATTTACAACAGTATTTTTTTCAATTTTTTTACAAAGCCGTGTTTACCCGTTGAAATAAGGACGAAATGGCATAAAAAACGTGTATTCCTACAACACTTCGTGCACTAAATGCGAAGATTTTTTGGGCCAACGTCTATGGAGACTGGAGGCGTTCGAGATTCCGTAAGTTTTTGATATTCTTAGACCTAGTTCCGAGATTTTCGCGATGTATAACACTAATATTCGAGTACAATATTGTTGTTGCTGTCCTCGTCGTCCGGCTCGGTTTGTGGCAGATCCCGGTACGCGATTTGACGACGAACGGAATAGGAGTTCATGGAAACGGTACGTTGAAGTTTTTTCATTTTTTCATCTGTTGTGGAGATCACATCAGCATCCACGTATTCCGGGAAACCACCATCGCGAAGGAAGAGGGGCACCAAAGCCGGAGGCCAGATCCCCTCGAGGAAGATGTAGGCTTGAGGAATACGATCGAGTTTCCCTTCTTTCACCAAGATGGCATCCTGAAAGGACAATAGGATAAAACGAACAAATTTGACGTGATGTTTGAGACATTGGAGGTTCAAATTTCGAATCCAATAAGGCAATTTAAAGCAAGGAGGAAGAGTTTCTCGTAAGTATCTACGTTTTTAGTTAAAAAAACTGCTTGACTCCATTTCCACACTCACCTTCACCAACTGATCCAAGTCCAACTCGGCGAACGTATCCGGATCTATCCCAATTGTCTGACTTAAAGCACTCAACAATTCAGTCACATGCAATTTTTTGGATCCAAACCAAATCTGGACGTTCTGGAAATTGCCCGCCTTTCGGCCCACGAAATACAATTTCTTGACGTAAACGGCGCCCAATTCTGGAAAAAAAGAAAAACATTTGTTTATCTGATGGTTCGGACTCACCCACAGCGACTGTCGATATAGCCAGACCCATTATCATATAACCAATTACAACTGGGATAAACTCGGTTCTGAAAGGTTGCAAAAATTTGACTTGAAGTGGGCAAGCCTACCGTTCCGGCACGAGTGCTCCGAATTCGATGGCAGTGAAGCAAATATATGAGTAATACAAGCCATTAACGAAATCGAATCGCCCATTCAGCAGCGGCATCACCACAGCTCCAAAAATTAAATACAAGATGACTACAATGAGCAGCGAAATTGGCGACACTCCCAGTTCGTTGGAAACGGGCTCAATTCGCAGTGATTTCAGAGTCGGCGACTTTTCCCGGTCACATCGTTCCCTCCAGCGGCGCAGAAACCAATGCCGCACTGTATGCTCCAGATGCCGAAGGTATAACCCAAAATTCGAGAGGATGATGACCGTTATCGGGACGCCCATAATACCCCAAATGACGGTGAAAACCTTGCCTTCTGAGGTTTTGGTTTCGATTTTACCGTAGCCTAAAAATTCTCGAGATAGATTACATTGTATTGTCTGGGGATGTAGGTAGTAAATTATGCGTCCTTGATTAGGCCAAATGATTTACTCACCTAATGTGGTCAAAATACCAAACCCGTATAACAGTGCGTTTTTAAGGTTCCATTCGTGGATTTTCTGCAAATCCGGATCCGCCACACATTCTTGTGCGATTCTGATGGCAACTGAAGCATCGTACGGTCGACTGAAAATATTTTCAACAATCTTCTGACACCCGTAAGCTTGGAATTTTTTGATTTCTGTTTGCCGCTTACCTCATAAAGATCGCGTCGATACAAGTATATCTTTTCTGAAGATTCTCATGCACGGCTCGTCTAGCAGCATCCGCCTCGAAGTACATGAAAGTATACCCGCCAAAGATCAAGTACGACAGAAGAAACAACACACTAGAGACATTTGCCAACAAAGACTTTCGTCTTATCTTCACCACCGGCAAAATCATCGCACTGTTGGCGGGTCCACTTTGGCGAATGAGCTCAGCCAACTGCTGATTAGTCGATGCGCTGGTGGTTTTGCGGGAGAGCGGAGTTTGGGGATCGGCGCGGCTGAACGATGCGGCCTTGTGCGGTAGCGGTGGGGCCGGATGAGTGGTCGCACTCAAGAAGTTGGCCCCGCCGAAGCCGGATTGGCTGCTCGAACGCGAACGATCGGATTTTAGGCGAGCGTCTGGAATGGAGGTGGATTAGTTATACGAAGTCTAGGCTCAAAAAAAGATGCCTAGAGAACGACGAAAAAATTGCTTTTAAATCACCATGGGCAAGTGCTTGCCAAACGCTTCTGTAAAGTTAATTATCAGACAGACGAGGGTTCACTGAGAGGAGCTGATAAACTCACCGCGCAACAAGTCGTTCGTACAGATAGACAACCGATAGGCACTCATTTCGGGAAAGTAGTAGACGTTAATAAGGCTCTAGTGACTTCTACGCCCATTCCGCCTGCACTGTAAACACGGGAATGCGAACGGCGTACTGAGAGCTCGATTTTTGAAAGACGCCACCATGGGCGTAGCTGACTCAAAATTCCTGGGGGTGGGGGGAGGTTGGCTGGGGGGGGGGATGTAAAACCTTTTTCCTTTTTTATCAGTTTGACCCCGGTCTCTGTGGGTAACCTCGGCTGACTTTTCGTCTGAAGATTTCAAATTGAATTCAGATTCATCGGGCCGTACCTTCACAGGAAGTGAGGGGAAATGAGAGGAGGAGGGCGGCTTCTGAAGATTACTGTTTAATTTGGCAACAACATGGGGAAGAAAAATTCAATTCCGGGAATTGTTGTTGCCGAAAGGAAACCTAAGACTAGTTTGGCTAGAAGAAAAGTTCAAAAAACATCTGTTTAAAGATAGCAAGATGAAGAAAAGTAATGCTTTATTTGGCTAATCCTTGAAAAATTTCAACTGAAAATGACGAAAAGTTCCGATTTTTCAACGCGGCTTAAGTAGGTCTACAAGTCGTTAACTTGACGGTCAAAAAGTTCGTAAATCAATCAATCTTTTTTGGGAATAGTTTTCTTTAAGTACGCTAAAAAGAGTGTGCTCTAAAAACGTATAAACCTCCGGGTATAATGTCATATAAAAGGTTCCGGTTTTGAACTCAGTGAATGTGACATTTAATGGGGCTGGAGATTTTTTGCGTTTTGTGGGATAACAGTAAATGTAGTGTAAGCTTTTTCCTTTCCTGATCACCTTGATCAATAAAGAAACTGTCCTTACTACAGGTACCTACAGAAAACTGTAGAGGTACCTACAGCAAACCTTTCTCCACAACGAACGTCCAGCGTGTCAAAATTCGTTTTACAGAGGGCCACTACCCTCCTAACACAACTTGCTACAGTATTTTTGCGGCATGTTTTTTGTTTGTTTGGTAACGAAACCCGTCCGCCGAAAAAACATCTTTGTAAGCCTTACTTAATCCTGTGTCGTGCGGTCGAGTGTCGGGCCAACGTCCTGTTGACCACAAACGGACCGACAGCTGACCTCGAGAATCCACATTGCACCCAATGTTTACAGCCACCACCCTCTCAACTCCCACCCTCCTACAACGAACCCGCGAACTAGCTCACCCGACACTAGTTGAGCTCTCAATACGCACAGTGTTCGTGGCGTCTGACCTCCGGGGCCCGATGCATCAGATGCTACTGGCGGTTGTTGGCGGGCGGATAAAAATTATGCAAAGACCATGGTGTGATTTTAAGCGCAGATAAAGAAGTTTTTTATAAGCCGGAAGGGGAGAGGGAGGACGAGGGAGAAAACACCCAATAAAACCGGAACTCCCATGGACTTTCGACAGACAAAAACAAATCAGAATTGCAAATGAAGCTACAGGAATTTCAAGAAAAATAAGTAAACATTTAAGTGAACAAAGACCGTACAAGTGGTTTACCTAACAGAGAAATTGCTTGAAATTACTTGAGGTGCCATGCGCAGACCTAGATCAGGGTTTGGGGGTATTTCCCAGCCCTGAGGTAGCGATAATGGCCGGTATCGATATCGCGATCAACGTTGCGATAAACGACAACTTTTTTCTTGAATGAACGCGTTCTGATAGCCGATTAGTTTGTAAAGCTTGTCATTTTGGGACCTAAAGGCTTGAACAGTAAATAATCGAATTTTTAATTAGCTGAGTAACGTTAAAGAAGCTTTAAATATAATTATTTGAAGTAATCATGAAGCCAAAAAAGGTTTGGAAAGCAAAAAATGTTGAACTAATTTTTTCTGTCAACTACAGTAATTTTTGGCAAAATTTTGACCATTCTCGCTTCTTCATTACCGATAATTTTTTCCACAACTCCCAGCTATGTTCTTGATGAACTTTCCCTAGATTTTTTTAATCTTGCTTACTTCTACCTTTGCTAAATTTGCCATCGCTGAAAACTGTCGAATATCGTTACCGTAAGCACTTCTCTTACGCAAAATTTAACTCAAAAGAAATCTATAAAAATAATTTTAAAATCACCAAGTCATCCGTAACTCATGCCCAGCCCCATGTTTTTGTAAATACATGGATTATAAATCATCACGACCCGTTATAAACAACTCCGACGAAAAAAACGTCTCAAAACCATTCGAATCAGAAGCCGACCCCGAATTCCGCCCCCAGGGGATGTTTCTCCGAAAATGTCCTAAACTTTTTCCGAAAAAATCCCTTTTCACACTCCCCATCAGGCACAGTTCATCAAAGCGGGATTCATTCGGATTTATTTCGCATCCGCCCTCCCTGACAGAGATTTTCTCAAAGAAATTGGAGACTTCGCTGAATGCATAATATAATCGCGTGATGACAAATAAAAACTGTCTGGAAGCTCGGGGGTGGAGTTAAATGGGTTCAATGAAAAGGAAGACTAATTGAAAAAGCTCAAGAACATTTTTGATCCCTTCCATTACCTAAAGCCATGCCTACAAACAGCTAAATCGTGTGAAATCGAAAGAGGTGGGCTTAAATAGGTTCAAATAATTTTTGACCTCTGAGAGGTCAAATATGACTTGACGAGTGATGGGTAATCTTGTTGAGAAGTTTTCTTGAGATCAAATTACTTGTTGATCTGTGAGATTTTCGAGGCAAAAAACAGCATACTGTTTTGGAAAAAGGTGGAATGAGGAGGGGTAAAAGTTGAAGGAGTTAGAATGTAAATGATGCCGTAAAGAGCGCAAAATTATACTACAGTAAGGGACCTGGTCCAGTGGCAAAAAACGTATCATTTTGCATCCTGGAAGTATGAAAAATGTGGCAAAATGCCTCCTTCTCCAACTAAAAAAAACTGTTTTGAACTGCCCTTTCAATCACAAAAAGAGTAGGTGCGCTTTTGGAGTTTTTTCTCTTGGGGAGGGAGGTATTTTGCTGCATTTTTCAGCTTCCCGGATGCAAAATGGTACGTTTTTGCCACTGGATCGGGTCATGGTGTCGACGCCAGAATTTGCACAGTGCAAACGGCAAGTTTTTTTGGAGTTTTGCACGGTGCAAAGGAGAGAAAATGTCTATGCACTTTGTGAAAATAATAATAGGACTTGAAACTTTGTACTTATAACAGATCAGACAGGGAGGCTAAGGGCGGACCTTTGAGGCTCTTGCTGTCCAAAACGCAGCTAGCGCAGCACGTAGGCAACTTTTTTAAAATGGCTTTTTTTGCAACTAAACTTCAAATTCAACATGGTCTGAAGATTAGCAAAAGCCACGTTCCATGAAGTACTGTTTTTTTCATAGAGCTACATAAATGCGTACTTAACTCTAAGAATTACGGCTTTTCAAACGCAAATTTAACGGTCGATTGCATGGATCCAGACAAGGTTGACATCGGGTGGAGGAACAAGCTAGATGAAAGGTCAATTTATTCGAATTACGCTAAAAAATTGTTATTCGAAAACTTGTCATTTTTTCTATAAACATACAGTAAGCCGCTGCAGCGAGCTTAACCCGTTGGATTTGGCCCATTTTTTGAGGATTTTGGGAGATAAAAAAATCTTCTAAATTTCAAAACATGGATAGGTTTTTGATTTCTCAACGCAATAAATCTTTTTTTAAAGTTTCAAACCCACATTTAACGCCGTTGCCGAGCAGGCGCATCAAACGTCGAAGCTATGACAATAGCAGTTATGTAGGAAAGTAAATTTGAATAGCCTTCTCCCAATGGTAAAAAAATTTTTTTGAAATTCTCAAACCTCGGCTCGAGCCTCTGACCAGCGAAATTTAATACCACTGGTACTAATAATCGAATAGTAATAATAAAATTTCGGCCATGAACCTACGACATTCCCCTCGCGGCGCTCCTCAAAAGGATAATCGAGTTAATGGGCGAATGAAATAAATTGATACCCGGAAAATCATAAAAATCCGAAAAAGGATGCGCCCATATGCCCCGCAGCCAATTTCCTCGCGGGCTTTGTTGCCAAGAGTGTTTATATAAAAAAGATTCCAAATTAGAAACATCAAAAAACGGGGCGAATAGGTAATGAAGGAGGCCGAAAATGGAAGATTGAAAAGATTAATTTGGCCTTTGGCCGAGATGTATGTATACTCTGCGGAAAAAGTTTGGAACACTCCGGTTCTGAAGAACTAAAGGAGCTAGAGATCTGACTCCTCTTTTGCCTGCAGGCTGCGGTAGAAACAAGACTAGCAGGCTGTTAAATAACAGGAAAATAAGAATGTACAGTGAGGGGCTTGATCCAGTGGAAAAAACGTACCATTTTGCATCCAGGAAGTATCAAAAATGTAGCAAAATACCTCCATCTCCAAGTGAAAAAACTCCGATTTCAGAAGCGCGCCCGCTTTTTTGTGATGAAAAAGGGCGCAACCTTCAAAAGAAGTTTTTTCACTTGGAGGGGAAGCATTTTGCCACATTTTTGATGGTTTCCGGATGCAAAATGGTACGTTTTTTGCCATTGGATCGGATCCGTCACTGTACATTTCACAATGCTCTAGGTTTTCATCAATTGTCACTGCTGACGCAAGAGTTACAGGAAAATTTGAGGTTTGGTTCCTAGAATTGGAAAGTTTGAATAGCGCAGTAATCTCTTGAAGAAACTGAAAAGATTAGTTCCTCGGAAAAGAAATTTATTTTTATTGAAAATAGAAAGATTCCACGGGGAAAAATCCTGATAACGCAGTAGTTTTCCTAATCTTTGAACTCAAAATTTAAAATACGGAAAATACAAAAACTTTAAAATCGGTTAGAATCGAATGCAAATTGGCCACAGAAGATGTTAAAAAACAGTTTAAAGAATAAAAATTATCAGTGCAGCTTTGCTTTGAAAGTTATTGGGAGACATTCGCAAAATTTGTTTTAAATTATTTTTTTCAATTTTAGTCCCACAGGTTTGTTCCTTCTGCTCGATTCACCTGTAAAGCACCGCCAAAATTTTGAGAAATCGAAAAGTGGCCTGGGGAAAAGTATGCGGACGACATTTGTGGCAGAACTACAGTGCCTTTACAGTGAGGGACGTGATCGAGTGGCAAACGACGTATCATTTTGCATCCGGGAATTATTAAAGATGTGGCAAAATGCCTCCTTCTCCAACTAAAAAAAAACTCCGTTTTGAACTGCGTGCCCTTTCTCTCACAAAAAGAGCGGGCGCGCTTTTGAAATCGGAGTTTTTCACTTGGAGAGGGAGGTATTTTGCTGCATTTTTGATACTTCCCGGATGCAAAATGGTACGTTTTTGGCGAATCGATCAGGTCCGCCGCTGAACTTGATCCGTTTTGTAACCATCTCGCCGATTTACATTTCTTCCTCTGCTGCCAAAAAACGCTCGAAAAAGTAATCAAGATTAAATGTTTGCCTTTTTTGTGGGCACTTCCACTATCTTCCTCTAATGAGACAATGGTGAGTCAACCGAATTTTCAATTTTGCCCATTTCTCACTTCTCACTTCCTCTTTTTCCCCCCAAATCCCCATCCGCACGTTCGTCCCATCAAGAGGAGCATTGCTCTTCCAAAGTCTAACTCATTGTCAGTACTTGCGAAAGGACAAAATCAACTGCATGTCAACATGCGCATAAAAATATTTAATCAACCCCAAAACAGTGAGAACCCAACGGACCGAGAGTGCAAGTGGCCAAACGCGGGAAATAACAAAGCACAAATAAGACAATGGATTTAGGGTTTAAAAACGGGATTTTTTGAAAATTTTGATGGAGAAATGGGATTTCAAAGAACTGAAAAAAGCAGGTTGAAAACGACAAATTAGGAATTAATGAGTGTGAATTGTAATAGAGTAGGGAAGAGAACAAAGAGGTTGAAAAAATGATTCTTATAAAATATTATTTATATTGAAGCTGAGAGCTGGGAAAATTTCCCCTTTAATAGTTTCGAGGAAAAAGTGGAGTTTAGGGAAAATGGCTTCATTTTTTGTAGACATTACTGTAGTAAAAAAACTCATTATCTTCTAAAAATTCCTTATTTTGCTTAAGAGCCGGACCCGAACCTTGAGCCCGAAGCCCGTCCAGGCTGTCTGTGGCATTCTTCTACAAACTTGCATATACAGTGGGGAACCTGATCCAGTAGCAAAAACGTATCGTTTTGCATCATGCAAGTATTATATCAAAAAATGTGGCAAAATGCCTCCCTCTCTAATTAAAAAACTATGTTTTGAATGGCGTGCCGTTTCCCTCACAAAAACGGACGGGCGCGCTTTTGAAATCGGAATTTTTTCACTTGGAGAGGGAGGCATTTTGCCACATTTTTTGATAGTTCTCGGATGCAAAATGAGTCGTTGTTTGCCACCGGATCATGTCCCCCACTGTAGTATAAGTTCAAGAATTGGCCATAAATCACTTCTCAAAACTGTTGATTTGCTCCTTTATGCACTTGCCTTCAAATAATCTCGACGGTCTCCAAAAAATGCGGGCTAAGAATTTTTGTGGGGAATTACCCCCGCGTGCGACGGCTAATTTTTCTTTACATTTTGCACGCAGTTTGGGCACAGACTGAATTTTGCGGGCACAACAACAATCAAAGGCGCCGTGAACACGGAAATGAGTGTTTATTGCCAAAATAAAGGCAATAAACACAAGCGCGACGCTCAGATGCGGTTGAAATTTGAACACGTTTGAGCATAGGTCACACAGTAATTACGGACCGTTTTCTTGCGCTGTGAAATTGCATTCGAGATATTCAACGGTTTGTGCTGTCACCAAGGAAAACTCTTATGGTCACGGCTTTGCTAGTGCGGAAAAAAATGATTTTTTGTGGAGATATTGCCGTGCAGGCAGTTGAGATAGAGAAGTCGCATTTTTCCCAATTTTTGGCTTAAAAATCTGGTAGCTTCTGCAAATCGCGACTTGTGGGCTCTATATGTCTCACCGTAAGAACAGGGTATTCTATTTAATTTTATGTCAAATTTCATCAAAATTTTAAAATCGCATTTGTAATACCACCCCTTAAACCGCAATTTCAGCCAAAATTTACAAGAATCGAAGGCATCTTGTCTACCGTATTTTACCCGAAAACACTTCTTTTAACCGCCTCTTTATCGTCTTTGGGATACCTTCAGAAACGCGTAAAGATGTCTGACCCAAACTTTAATCCAATTCTCAATCTTCAACCCCACAAAGCCTCTGCCCGAAAAAAAGCCTATGCCTTTCTCGTAATGCCAGAGGCGGAGAATTCCGAAGCCGGAAAGATGGCGTTCCCCAAAAGTTTTACGACATCATGCGCGACCATTCCGGCCCTCCGTAAAAATAAAACTTTGTTTTGGGCCAGATTGTAAAGTTTCATTTCTCTAAATCGCGTTCAATTAGGAGTGGTTCTAGCCTCATTTCGGAAGAGATTAATCTTTCTTTCGTTCAACTTTTTGAGCTATACATCTGACTTTGCGGTTGCTTTGAGCTCCGCGTAGACATTGCGCGCGTGATGGGCAGGGCCGTCGAACGGTTGGTCCAGCCGTCCAAGGCACGCTAGCGTGTTCGAAGAGAGTTAGCAGCTGCGCGTGGGGACACTTCGCAAGTGCCGCGGTCCCTACTTCGCGTGTACTGGAGTTTTGTATTAGGGTGAACCAAAATTTTTTTCCGATTTTTTATATCTTTTTGTCTAATTGTTTTTTACGAATAAAGATTTTTTATGGCTAGGGTATAACGGTGAAAGTAAAAATTAGCCAAATCTGTAACAATCTGGTCTAAATGTTGTATGATGCGATTTTTTAAGGCCTTACCCGACCTTACAATATAACTTGTCTTTATTTGGCTTAATTTTTCAAAATGAACAAAAACCCTAATTTTTAATTTTTCAAAGCTTTCCAGCAAAAGAACTAAAAGCTTTAAAGAGTCATCTCCACAAATAACATGAACTATCCCCAAAGAAACTGTAAAACTTGGAGAACTGAAAAAACCCCGTAGGGAATGGAGGAAAACAGAAAATCTCAGGAAACAAGCCGCCTTTGGGAATTGGGATGTGTTCAGAAACTACAGTAAAAACAGTAGTCAGATTCCGCTCAAAACTCCTCCGACCTGTCCGGAATTGCGTCAAGCGGAGTCGGCATGAAACACTTGACATCTGTGTGAATCAAACATCACGAAACGTCAAATCCGGAGCCCCAAATCCGTAAGCAACCCACTCCGCTTGTTAGCTACCAAACAATTACATCCGCTCAGAGCTGTCTGGTCAGAACAGAATAAGCCACACGCACGGAAATGTTGACGACTTTTTCATGTTTCATCCCGACCCCCGAGACCAACAACGGGAGCGCTTCGGCCGTGCAAGGCGTCCGCGAAACCGCATGGGACCCATTGGACAATCATTTCGTCGTTTGTCGCGCCCTCAGATCATAACACAAACAAAGAACGTCGGCGCATTTTTTTTACTTTTTTATGCCAGCGAATTGATGGATAGCGACTCTTTTTTTGTCAACTCAAGGTTCTAAGAATGGCCGGAGGAAGATGAAAATGAATGAGGATGAGATTCGCATGGAGAGCAAGAAGCAAAGGTCGTTAACTTGAATTGGATGGCAGTTGGCACAAATTTAGAAAGTAATTTTCGAACAATAAGATAGTCGAGAATCCTAACTCGAACTTGTCCGGAACCGCTCGGATTTTGACACCTTTTCACTCTTGGGTTTGCAAATTTCAGGCTCAAATTTACCAGAGCGGTGCACGTCAAACTGAGATAAGCTAAAACGGTGAATGGATAGGCAAATCGCCAAAAAAAAACGCGAAAAATCTCTTTGTCGGGGAACAAATGGGGAATTTTTGGGGCGAGAGAGTACGTTTTTGCATGTCTTTTCTATGACTTCTTTGTAAAAATCAAGACGAAGTGTAAAAAACCGATAGCTAAAAGTCTATTCCGCTGACCGGACTCCTCAGTGCTAACAAACGCTTACCCATCAAAAATCGAGCCATATTTGTGAACTCCTTGGGCGAGAATTCACTTCCCTCGTTGCAAAAAATTATGGCCACATCCTTTTGTTTCGGGAAGACCAAAGTTAAGAATCTTTTCGTCGTTTCCACACCTTTCAATTGATATTTGAGGGTTTGACGTGCGGTGAACAACGCTTCAGCAATCGTGGAAACAAACAGTTGTGGGCGATGACCGTTTCTGGCCTGGCCAACTCACTTCATGAGGCATTTACGTTTCCTAACAAAATTGTAATACGCTTTATAATACGGATTCTATGTAAAATGTGCTTCAAAAGTTGCGTCCACGCCTTTTCGATCATCTTCCTTCGAAATACATAGTCATAACTATTATAATAGAAGGAAACAGGTTTTGCCAGAGAGTCAAGCTAGCTGTGCACAAAAAAACAAGATGTTACAGTGAATTACCTATCATAGAAAGGTAGTTAATCGCAAGTCAAATTTCAAATTTTTGGGTTACTGTAGGTGTACTGTAACATTTTTTGTTTCTCCTCGATTAGCTGTTCGATTGACTCGGGGCCTTTTCATGGTTATAGATTCAATGATTCTAAGCAATTTTCGTATTTACACTTTTTTCTAGGACTTCGGGAAGCATGCGAAAAATTTTTATAGATAGGATTTTAAAAAATTTTCTATATTTTTCCCTTCTTCATGCCAAATCTTCCCTTCAAAGCCCAAAACTTCCATCCAAACACTTCCAAGCTCACAAAAATACCTCCATCATATCAATAATTACTTCGGATTTAATTTAACTTAAAATTATTTGACAAAGAAAGAAGAAGAACATGGGGATAAGGGGGGCGATCGGGGGGACAGGCCAAAAAATGGAAGAAGAAGAGAAGAAAACGCGGATTGACATAGTTCTGGATAGGGTGCAGCGCTGTTTTGGGAGGGAGGGGGGAGTGGAACGATCAAGGTGATTACTCGTTGTCCTCCAAGGACAAGTGGGTGATCTTGTCGAAGTTGAAGGGTTGGGTGGTGCCGCGCTCGAAGATGTCCAGCACGTCTTTGCACACCGTCTCGAAGTGGGTGGTCGAGTCGTAGCCTTTGGAGATGAAGATCTGCGACTCCGTGCCCAGATCCACCGGCTCGTAGATGTCCGATACGCTCACAAACCTGGAGAGGAAATTGTTTTTAAACATTAAAATAAAATCGAGGAAATTTTCAAAAATCTACAATTTTTCAAAAAAATCATCAAAACGGAGACGATTTCACATCAATTCCAACGTCTGATCACCCTCATATCAACTAACTTTTACCCGTTTTCCTCCATTTTTCGTCCTTTTTTGGGTATCAATCATGCCAAAAATCAACCAAAAATGAAAAAGATCGAATCTCATATCCCAAAAATTAACCAGCAATACACAAGAAAGTTTGTCTCCAAACCACCAAAATTAACTTCAATCTGACCTAATGAACTTTCAAAAAAAAAAAAAAAAAAAAAAAAAATTCCAAATCTCAATTTCCAACAAACAAAGCCGACAATCTGCCTGAAAATCCCAGCCCACTTACTTGTCAGTGATTGGACCTAGAAGTTGAAGTCCGGGTAAGATTTCGGCTTCGGGGTTGGAAGTCTCAACAATGGTGGACACCATAGCAATATACCATCCCTTGGGGGCTACCAGGTTCGAGTTTGATACGCATGAGATGTAAATGTCTGTAAAAGTGTTAAAATTATAATTATACCAAAATCCAAAAAAAAATATTGAAAAGAAAAAAATTTTTTTTTTTAGTTTTGATGTCATGGATAACTTAATGTCCCACCAACCACAAATTTTCATAATTAACTAGTCTATTGTTCCAAGTATTCAAACTCCCTTCTAAAAACAAGAACAAAAACTCAAAATCTTAATATTCATCATCATGTGTAATATCCGAAATCCTTCAATACTTCCTCCCTTCCCCCAAAACTTTCCCAAAAGCCCCCTGAATCCCCTATACACTTACCAAAATGACGGTCAACTTGTTTCTGAGGGATAATGATTTGGCATGAGGCCGACTCGTTGGTGTTGGGGATGGTGTGATTCAAGATGCAGATAGCACGAATCACTTGGCCGGTCTTCTTCACTCTGTCCGAGCCCTTCAGGTAGCTGGGGTCGCAATACAACTGCTTGCACTTGGCGATTTCGGTGCCCGAGCGAACCCCAACCACACGATTGTTTTCGATCACAATCTCGTCGACCGGCTTGTCCAGCATGTAGGTGCCTCCGTAGATGGCGGACAGACGAGCAAATCCTTGTGGCAGCTCACCGAGTCCGTACAGCGGGTAGAGGTAGGGCGACTTTCCGTAGCGGGCCAGCGAGTCCGAGTATAAACGGATCTTCTCCACCGACTTCGGGAATGGTTGTTGTTTGTAATCGTCGTTCAAATAGAGAGCCAAAGCGTGTCCGGTAAAGTCGGCGGTGTTGTCATCAAGGCCGAATTTCTCGTAGACCTGTTGCATGGTGGTGGTGCGGGGGTCGAGCCCGTCCCAGGTATTCTTGTCCTCGGGGTTGAAGTTTTGCACCCAAACCAGGAATTTCTTGAAACGGCGCTTCTCGAACATGCCCATTAGGCCTAGAAATAATCAAATTAAAAGCTCCGTTCCTCCAGTATTCTAAATTAGGACATTTTCCCGAAGGACGGCAACGTTAACGTAGTCTTATACTCCCTTTTCTACATCCACCATCTTTCATGAAGAATCTATTTTTCCGCAAATTTATTTGTCTCAAAAACGACTCAAACGTTACGTTCTTCTAGGCACTACCGTCTCAAACGCCCTCATCCTTTCTAAAATCCGAACAAGAAAATTAAAATCACTTACTCGTAGCGAGAGCTTCCATTTCATCAGCTGGGACTTTGTAGACCTTTCCGCCTCTGTAGACGAAGCTTCCTTCGATGGATTTGAATTCCAAATATCTGGTGACGCCCGTGTGGATCAGGAGCTTCACCAAGGGCCCATTGGCCATCAAGAATTTCGGGACCAGGTCCACGTTCCAGTCGCGACCACGGCCCATATCAGTCGGAGGCTTCGCATTGGGTCCGCGGAAGTGTTCGTAGAGCTGTTCCAGCGGGGTCAACGAGGCCGATTCGCCTCCGTAGTAGTTGTTTCGGTCAATGTGGAGGACCTTCTTCCCCGAGACGGACAGCATACCGGAGAGGATGCACTCCTTCAGGCCGGTGCCCAACACAATCGCGTCGTATTCCTCATCCATGGCGACCAACGGTTTTCGAAAATGGGTGTGGGAGGAAAGTGGGTGCTGAAATGTGTATTACACTGCAACGCCAGCTCGTAATTCAAAACGAATTGCTGAAAGAATCAAAGGCAAAAAATAGATAACAATTTCGCTGTCAACGAGTAAAATGAGAAAAAAATCGATGAAAGTCGTAACAACATCTTTATTATTAACAATAAATCGTCGCCTAGATTCTTCCTACTACTCTTTAGGCCCTTCAAGACATCATTTTGCATGGACAATCGGCCAAAATTACAGTTTTTTGGCCAGAAGTGCGTAATTTATCTGTTCGCCGAAAAACCAATCCCACTCATTCAGAAGTGGATCGTAGATTAGGCCTCGTTTGTAGATCACTTGACAGTCATTCAGGAGGAGATGGCTTCTCAGTTCGTCTGGAGTTACGAATTTGTCCCATTGGTGGAGACCGGAGGGAAGAAAGCCGAGGCCCTGAAAGAAGAGTTGGTCTTGTACAACATGCAAAAACAAAGCAATTTTTATCGACAAAAAAAGTCAGAATAGGTCAACCCCGCGTCCTTGCATCTCCCTTTAAATTCAACACTCAAAAACCACAATTTTTTCCATACCAAAAAACGGAAAATTCTAAAAATCGACTAGACTTAAAACCGAAAACAAAAAGATGTTCATGTTGAAAATAATCGATTTTAAACCTCAAAACCAAGCCCCACAAAGCAAGCTTTTGTGATGTTACACTCTCCACATCCTTATTCGCCCTTCTGAACCAAAAAAATTTCCAAAATCTCCAAAAATCCCAAGATATCGGCCCGAATTTGGAAGCACTAAAAATTGGGTGCAAGCGCCGCACAATGCGCTCGCCGCCGGAGGGCTTTTTCCTCGTTCTCCCTTTTGGGGAGGGAGGGGGGAACGAACGCGGGGCTGTGGTCCCTGCCTGGGCCATGCGGCACTCACTTCGGCCAGCCAAATCCCCACCACGCGGCTCAGTGCGGTCCTGTTCAGGGTGGTGAAGAAGAGCGGTGCGCCGGGTTTGGCCAGCCGGACGGCGGCGCGGACAAAGTCCGCCTGGTCCGCCACGTGCTCCAGGATCTCAGACGCAATCACGGCGTCGTAGGCTGCAATTTAATCATGAGATTAATATGTAAAAAAAGGGGAAAAATCTACCAAAATCAAAATCCCAAAAATGGGTTTGCAAATCAATTTTTCTTTCCGGGAATTACCTTCAACTTTAGTTTCGGCCAATTCTTCCACGCTGCTGTTAACAAAATTGATTCGTTTTCTGGTTCCAGCGTCCAACACATTGTCTGCAAGTCTATCAGCGACCCTTACACATTCTTCCGTAGCTTCGATTCCATCAACAGTGGCTCCTAAATTCAAAAACAAAAAAATAAAAAAAAAATACAAACCATACGATTTCTGCTTTCTTTAAAGTCCAACATACCCAATCTAGCCAACGGTAGAGTCAAGATTCCCGCTCCTGATCCAATATCCGCCACCTTAATGCCTTTTAGAGGCTGAGTCGGGTCGATTCCGCTTCTTTGAATTCTCTAAAAATATTATTCATAAATGGACAACCATAACATGACCACGTCTAAAGACCGCCGGGAAATTGCCCGAAACCATACCTCATTCAACTCATTTGTTATCCATGGCACTCTGATCCGGTTCATTGAATGCAATGGCTTCATTGGTCCATTTTCGTTCATCCATTCGGATGCCAATGAGTCAAATCTTCGGATCTCGTCCGGGTCGGCACGTGAGGTGGACGGCGACGTCGCAGCGGCCGAAAACAGCCTCACGGCAGTGGCTACACGCTTAGGGGGCAACCCGGCCAATCGGTTCATTTTTTTCAACCCAAATCCTATTTTTTTCCAAAAAAAAAAACAACAAAATCATAAAAAGTGCGTAAATTTCGCGATAAAAAGTAATCGAAATAATTAAATTCAGATTACAGACACTCATTGAAGCTATCCAAAACAAAACTTTGCACCTAATCCACGATTTGGAAATTCCAAAATTCTTCCTCATGGATAACAAAAATAATCTGGTCTTTCAACCCTCTATGAGACAACAATCTATCCATCAATTAGTTCCTGATTCAAAAACCATCTTCATTCATCTTAATCCATGTTAAACGTACAATCTATGACCAAAAAATTAGTCGACTTTTTTGGTCTAGAAACGATTTTTGAATTCAAAAAAACTACAATACTTTTAAAAAATAAAACGTCGTATGACTGAGCCTAGCGTTTTCCCTCGTTCTAGTCGATCTTGAGCAGGAATTTGGACAAAAAGTCCTTGGGTTTGGCTTCCAAATTCTCGCGGAACAGGTAGTTTCTGACGTGATCTGGGTTGTAGAAGGCATACTCGATGCTTTCAATGTCCTATAAGGCAGGTTTCAGAAAAAATCACCAATTTTTATACAACCACAACGTTCGAACGCTTTTACATTAATAAAATCGTCAAACTCCAAGGCCTTTTACATTGATTTGTACCCTACCTTGTACCCTTCGGCGATTTTTCGGTCAATGATACGCAGGTCTTTCACGTGAGCATTCTTTATGAACTGCTTTTTGATGACTTCCCGGAAGACTGGCAGTGGGTAGTCGGTCAATTCATAGTCCCACCAGAAGGTCGGAGTCAAGCGTTGGCTAAAATTTGGGGGCTACATTTAGGACCTTAATTCGGGCAAAAAAAATAGTTAAACCTCGTCATTACAGTGAGGGACCTGATCCATTGGCAAAAAACGTATAATTTTGCATCCGGGAAGTATAAAATGTGGCAAAATACCTCCCGCTACAACAAAAAAACTCCGTTTTGAAACGCGCGCCGTTTCCCTCACAAAAAGAACTGGCGCGCTTTTGAAATCGGAGTTTTTTCACTTGCAGAGGGAGGTATTTTGTTGCATTTTGGATACTTCCCGGATACAAAGTACGTTTTTTTCCAATGGATCAGGTCCTCCATTGTAGTGATAAGTGTAAAAAAATGTAATAAGGACACATCGGAATCAACAAGAACTCTACATTTCACCAAACCGCAAAGAAAGTAGCTCAGAAATCAGCTTTTTCACCTTATACTGTCCAAACATCACTTCAAAAATGCTACTTCAAAAAAAAAAAACACACCGCTAATCTCGAGTTTATAACCGCTCAATTCCTTATGTTCTGTTTCTCGTTCGTCGTCAAGGCGACGACCTCAGAAACAGGAGCACAATAACGAACATACAAAACGAGGAAGCCCCGTATTTTCAATTACTCATTCTGCGGCTAGCACAATAATCTCTGGGCAATTTTATGGTGTAATACATCCATTGGCAGTATTACACCACAAAATCGCCCAAGAAGATTAAAAATCACTTTTTTCATCGAGCAGTCCACAATTAAAGACCTTTTGAGTAATATCAAGCTCACTTCAATCTTGTTGCAGTCAAATTTTCACAACAATTCTCTGATTACGTCGACCCAAACTCTATCAAAACGCACTCAATGAATACAATCTAGAAATTACTTCATAACTCCAGATGTAATAACTCAAAATGAATGAAATGAAGGTAGAAAGGACAACGACTCGCAAACAAAACATAAAAGCTACGGTCAACCCTCCTGCCAGACAAATCCATTTAAATCGCGAAAAAACTTTCCCGGATTGCATCAATAAATCTATTTCGGCGAGAAAAAACGGGAACACACGGAAACCAAGACCAAAATTTGATGAAAAGTGCGCAAAGATCTCGCAGTATCCCAGTCGAGAGTGGTGAAAAACAAAGACCAACTGTGAAGCGGGCAGTCTACTCGATAAATGAGCTGTCTACTCAATTGGAAGAGAACTCATTAATCGGGCTGGATTCGCTTTTTTATGCGCACAATCGAATACCAGCATATTGGATTAAAAACAAAGCTGACTTCTTGGAAAACCGTCCTAGACAGTCATCTCCGTGCTACAAGCAACATCAAAATTCTTCGACAAGTTCCCTCGCGTCCAGCCGTCATTCCAAACCATCAAAAACGAATCCGGATAAGCTTGGACAGCTATGACACAAGTCCAAATTTCTCGGTTCGACTTCTGGTCGACCCAAACGTTTTTTTGTGCCCTAAATGGGCACAAAAAACATTTGGGGGGAAATGAGAGCAGGAAGGCGAAGAAACCGCTCTGCAGACGAAGGCCGATCCCGTTCCCTTATTTCGTTTGAGTTTAACGACGGCCATCGGCCAATTCCCGCGCTGGACGAAAGCTATTGGATGTGGGGCAGACCAGACGCAATAGAAATAAATTTCCAGAAAACAACTGAATTAGAGCAACAAAGCAGTGTGAACAACCAACATATCAGAAAAATATTACGAGAAGAGCTGCCTATCTTCGTCAGCAAAAATCGTAGTTGATTCAGCTTTATTCGGGCCTACAGCGCGGATTTGGCTAGCATAATTGCCCAATACGTCATTTTTCAACGGTGAGTTCCGTTAGAAATTACGTCAATGCCTTCAAGCTGCTCCAAAATTAGCTCCTCATCTCTCAAAATACTTCGCCTTCGCCTGCCTTCCCCACTACCTCAAAACACATCGATTGCCTGCCTTCGCCCTCAAAATGGGCTCGGAAACGAGGGCTTATAATGATTTCGATCCCTATCCATAGCCTTTAGTCCACTCAGCCCTTCGGCTTCGCGTAGCTATGTTTACCAAAAGCGAAACTGAAAAGAGCAACAAAAAAGAAGGGTGGGAGAGCAGGAAAACCCCCCATGGAATCGGCCGTTCTCTCTCTCTCCATTCTCTCGCTCTCTTCGAGGCCTTTTGAGGGGCGGTTGCGCAGTATTTTTTCGTCACTGCTGCGTTGGACTTTCGAGAATAATTTCGACAAAAAAGTTTTTAAGATATCGAGAAAGGTCTTGTGAGCGAGGCATAACTAATTCATAAAGCAAAAAATGTGTAAAACCCTGGTCATAAGTTCCGTTTCATAAAAAAAACTACAAAAACTATCCAGTAGAACATAGAACAGAGTTAAACATCCCCAAATTCAATAAAATCCCAACATCAGACCGTCGGCAAAATAGTGGCGGGTACCTGCTGAAATCTCGCCCATAATCAAGCCACATACAGCCTCTTTCTCAACATAATCAAGGCAGTAACTATGTGAATTACTCCTCAAATCCAAAAAAGTTTCGAATCCGACCAAGAACAACACAGAGCTTGTTGATAAGCCCCAAAAAGCGACAAGATCACGAAATCCACACTTTCAAACTTAAACCTAGGAAACCAACTACTGTATTAAAAAACAAAATCCGAAATTCAAAAACATTTAGAGGATGAAAACCAACCCAAAACAAAACAACCGTTTCGGACCTATAAAACAGCAGTTCATCAACACCTCTTTCATCAAAAGATCAAGAGGTCGTGGAAATCTCCATAAACGTTCCGAAATAGCCGCGTCGAAGACGTGGAGAGAGCAAAGGCAGAGAAAAAGGCCGACGTGTTCCTTGCAGTCTTCGCTTTTTTTCGTTGTGCAGCGCCGCATTAAAAGACCAAAAAAATAAGAGGAACGAGATGAAAAACATGGAAAGCGTGCAAAATTTTGCTAATTTTAGCTTCGGCCTATATGGGAGGAGGGATGTCGAGAGGGCCGAAGCGGATGATGTTTGTACAGAAGACGAAGATTCATGTGAAAAACCACATGAATGAGGGGAAAGATGAAAGGAAGGACAAATAGGACAAAACAGGACAGAAACGAGGTCGACAGCGCGGACTTCCACCAAAACAAAATATTTTTTTCGAAAGCCTCATCTCACAAAAACCGTAATTTCACCCTAAAACCGCTGGAATAACATAAAACAACTCTCATTTCCACCTTTTGAACTCATCGATATCACCTTAAATACCGCTATCATTTCAATTTCTCTGAACCCAACGATCTCCCGACTCGATTTCCAATCAAATTGTTCTTGGAAGACGTCCAATTTACCTAATCTTTCTTTCACTCCATTATTTCACACAAAGAGAGTAATTTCAATCGTCGAATTCATAGTTGAATACTCATTTCCGCACCCCTTTTTTTGCGGAATCGTTGAAGCGAGGTCAATCCTCGATTATTGTTTTTCCCCAGCCTATTTTCTTCTGATGAAACAGAAGGTTTGCACCAGCGAGAACTAGGTCAGATTAACATGAAACATCGCTGATTCAGCTATATTATTTGGAAAAAAAAACTTGTAATACAAGAGATTATTGGCGCCTCTAGTGTCATAGACGACTTGTTATATTATAAAACACGTCATTACGGCTAATTGAAATCAAAAAGCGGAAGTTCACAAAAAAATTATATTACACATGACAAGAGGTCACAAAAAATTCTCTTCATGAGCAGCCAACCAAACTTACAACCGCTTGTACAACGTGAGGACAGCCAAACGAGCTTCATCGGCGGAGTGAGAAGAGACTGGAGTAACGGTCTTGGTTACAACCCGCTGAGCGGCTTGAACAACTTTTCCTGCGGTTGACATTCTTAGTTCAAGGTTTCACCACGGCTCAACTAAAAGCGTAGCATCATAAACTTGCTCTATGCGATATTTTGGAAACCTAAATTCAAATAATAATAATAAATCTTACTTTAGCTTCGAGGAAATCGAGTTGACGTTCCAACTGAACAACCTTGTCGTTCAAAGTGGAGATTTTGTTGCCGCAGGTGTAGGCTGAAATAATAAGTATAAATTGCTACAAAGGCACCATTAAAGCTAATTCTTTACCCAACTTTCAGACCAAAATATTATACTGCACTAACTTTGCAGAAGTCTCTTCACATTTTTTTGACACTCCAAACCCAACAAAAATAATAGCACATGTAGCCCAGATCCTCACCATGCTATTTTCAAATTTTCAACCAAATTGTTCAATCATCTTATGAGTTTTACGCAAAAGTAAATAATGGCCATGCTTTACAAGGATGGTGCCCGAAAAATTGATTTCGTCACAATCCGAAGCATTTTTTTCAACCAAATTGCGGAAACTTAAAAAAAAGGCGGTTATTATGTTACTATTTGCAAGCATCTTCTGTAAAACAAAAGTTTCAATGTCATTACAGACGAAAAGATATTTTACATCGCACGTCTGATGATGCTCGTTAAATTTCGCTAATTGCGCGTCCCAAATCGTTCAAACAGCGAAAAAAATATTACACAATGTTGGTCGTGCATCTACTCACTAAAAAAGAATGAAAAAAGTTCGAAACACATACCGAATTGGCTCAATGAATCACCAATCTTCTTGATGTTGTCCGCTGCAAAGTATTCGAATTCTCTGTTGTCCCAGTCCTCCTTGAGTTGACGCTGCACGGAGACGGTTGGCACGGAGTTCATTCAAACCCGTTCGATGCCGAAAACCCACGCTTCTTCGGCGGTCCGCACGAATCTACGTTGGATCTATAAGAAAATGCGGATCAACATCAACAATTGGCAATATCTTAGAAAAAGGAGAAGATAATTCGACCGGGACTTGAAAAATCCTAGAAGCAGTTTGGAAAAAAGCTACACCAACTCACAAGAAAGCTGGATCAAACGGAAGAAATGACAAATTTTGATGAAGAAGAAGAGAAAGCCCGATAACTTCGGGCGCAGCTCGCAATGGTGACATTGCAGACTGCGGCGACATTTTATACGAAGAATGAGAGAATTTGTGACAACGGTGGACGAAAATTAAAAATGTGATAAAAATGGTTTCCCACAACTCAAAATTGTATTTCGTTTTCAAAATACCATAGAAATAAGAAAATCTATCATGTACTTGATAAAAAAAGAGCAAATTTTTATGAAAAATCCAAATTTCACTGCATTTGTGATCGCATTTTACTCGCATTTTTTATTAATGGCTTGTTTACTATCTTCGTCATCCGTTATGTTCCAAATTTTGATCTTTTTTGTCTTCCTTCAAATTCAAATTTCTTCGGACAAAGTCCAAACTTCTGATTAAAAAGAAGTCAAAAATTCACTGTTGACGACAATTTGAGTTCATAAAGTTTGTATTTCCTTATCAATGGAGACAATATCACTGTTCTTTCAACCCAATTAAAAAAAATTTTTTTTTGATATTTTTCATCCAATTTTTATAAATTTTTTACTTTTAAATTGACCGAATTGTCAGAGCCTTTACCAGTGATGCTCATAAATCATATTTGACCATTTTCCGAACGATTATTTCGGAATTGCGGAGGAGGATTCGTCAATCGGTGAAGAAGTTTGATGACGATTATTCCAAGTGACGTGATAAAATAATTTGTTGATATACAGTAGGTAATTTGTCACTGATTTTTAGCTACTTGTAGTTTGCCTTGGAGGTTTTACAATTGTGTTTTAAGTTTTTTTGCTTTTACACATACAGAATTAATATTTTTTTAATTCGTCGCAATTTTTTTTTTTTGAAATTTTTGATAGTTCTACGTTCAATTGTTCTTTAAAATTTTCAGGAATTGGTATGTGTTCTATGCCGGACATATGTGCGTGATTTAAAGAAAATCCGAGCGCCGCAGTTGGGGTACTTTCCTCGTCAGGCTAATTCCACTTTTGGCTCACAAGGGAAGTACTCCAAGTGCGACGCTCAGATTTTTTTTAAATTTTGCACACACGTCGGGTATGGACTAAATATTAATTCCTTTTTACTTTAAAAAGTTTTTGCTCGCGCTTTGCGGGCGCCGCCGAGATATCGAAAGATTTTTCCCGCCGAGAGGGCACGCTAAACGTGGAGAGCGGTCTGAGAGCTTTCTGGCCATAACTTTGCTAGCTTTGCGAGGAAAAAGTTCATTTTTTGTGGAAACATTACCCTTCACGGTAGAAATAGGCACGAAACTTTTCGTGCCGAAATTTAGCAAAAGGTCTGAAATTTTCGCCGACTTTCACTCTAAAAATCTCCGTTGTTTCTGCAAAGCGCGGGCTGGGATTCTTGCATATATTTTCGAAAAAAAATCTAAATTTGTGCCAAGTTTCATCAAAATATAAGGGTTGCACTTGGGGTACTTCCCCTGTAAGCCATCTTTTTCAACCTCGTTGGACCTAATCGTTTCCGACATTAAATTCAACGTGTTCAGTAATCTTTGAAAACGATGACCAACATGCGATAAGCCAAGTTATCACGAGACGTGACGACAGTTTTCTTCGTCTTCTACTTCCTTACTAATTACAGTCCCTTTTTTGAGATCGCGCGGTTCAAATGGCGCGTTTGCTGTGGAGAGCTTGAAAAGAGATAAGGATTTTAAATTGGGAATGCTACTTTTAGGCATTTGAAAAAAAACGTCTAAATTCTAGCCGGTAACCCTTTGGAAAGTAGCGCGTTTTCCGAAAGCATCGTCTTTACAGTATTTGCTTTGTTTTTTCTTCATTTCCTGCGAAAATAATCTTTATAGATCACGGCCAACGGTGGTTTATTTGCGCTGGAGTTGTATTACGAACGGGTCATTTATTTTTGTAATCATTACTGTCCTTCAAACCATCTAATTCACGATGCTAACAATGCGAGTGGGCCGTAGACTCACAAGGGAAGTCACTTAAATCACGGATCAATTTTGTAAAACGACTGTTACAGCGATGGGGAGGGTAGGACGGAGATACCAAATCTGAAAACCGCTACCTCCACCGGCCTCTGGGAGCCGAGATAATCGACCAAAAAGTTTGACCAAATTCGTCCGAACATTTCTTCCTTCCGAAAGAAGAAAAGGCAGCGAACCGAATGGTCCGGTGGTCTGGAAGCGCGCTTCCGGGCCTTAACCTTTTCAGGTTCGAATCCGCGCGGGTCTCGAGCTTGTGAAAAATTTATAAAACAGTTGATGTAATCCAGTAAATTTACTAGCAATTCTTTTTTAGATTTTTTGCCTATTTTACGGTAAATTTTCAACCTGGAAAGTTCAAATGGTTTGGAATTCGCATTCAAATTATTACTCTGAAATTTCGTAAAATATGCAAAAAATCAAAAATTTTATCTTACCCGTAAATTTACTGGATTACAGGAAAAGTTTAATAAATTATTTGACCCATGCGGATTCGAACCTGAAAAGGCCAAGGCCCGGAAGCGCGCTTCCAGACCACCGGACCATTGGGTTCTCTGCCCTCCTTCTTTCGGAAGAGAGGACTATTCGGAGCAACTTTTTTTGGTCAAACCTTTTTGGTCGATTATCTCGGCTCCCAGAGGCCGGTGGAGGTAGCGGTTTTCAGATTTGATATCTCCGTCCTACCTTCCCCATCGCAGTAACAGTCGTTTTTAAAAATCGATCCGTGACTTAAGTGACTTCCCTTGTCAGTTGATTTTTTTCAACAGTCAAAATGTTGTTTCAACAGCCTTTTTGGCGGGCGTTCTCAGTTACAGTAGGAAGGTTGCAAAGAATTGTAGGAACTAAACATCAGATTTTTAGACGTCGTTTCGGAGGCTTGCCAGGGATTGTAAACTTGTCTGCCAAAATGAATTTGAATTATTTTGATGAAACTTGGCACAAATGTATAGTAGTTCTTTCTAAAGCATATGAGATCTCTAGCTCGCACTTTGCAAAAGTGACCGAAATTTTTATGTTGAAACTTGGGAAGAATGTGACACTTTTGTACGAATTTTGGCACGAAAAGTTTAGTAGTTCACGGCTATTACCAAAGAAGAAAGTAAAGGTAACATAAAGTCAATCTTTTCCTCACAAAACTGTCAAAAATACGGCCCAAGGTCCTCCGGAATACTGTTTCGCGTCAAAAATCCGTAAAAAAGTGCCACCTTTTCTCCAACTTTCGACTAAAGATCAATTAATCTAACAGGTGAAGTACCCCAAGTACGACGCTCAGATTTTCTTTAAATTTTTTACACACGTCAGGTATAGACTAGATATCAATTCCTGAAAGTTTTAGCTCGCGTTTTGCAGGGGCCGCCGAGATATTGAATGATCCTTGCCGCCGAGAGAGTACACCAAACGCGGAGAGCGGTCAGAGAGAGAAACACTTTTTGGCCATAACTTTGCTAGTTCTGCGCGGAAAAAATTGATTTTTTGTAGAAACATTATTCTTTACGGTAAAAATAGGTGCGGAAACTTTTCGTGCCCAAATTTGGCAAAAATTGTCAAATTTTCGCCAACTTTTGATCCAAAAATCCCGGTTGTTTCTGCAAAGCGCGAGCTAGAATTCTCGCATATATTTTAGAAAAAATTATTCTAAATTTGTGCCAGGTTTCTTCAAAATCTGAGCGTCGCTTTTGGTGTATTTCCCTTGTAAATTTGAGCCAATTTTTATCAAAATCTGAGCGTTGAACTTGATGTACAGGGTGGGGCATCTTTGTGGCCCGATTTGAATTGGCTATAACTTCTTTAATTCTTGGCCAAATTTTAAAATTCTTTTTTTACCTGAATCCTCAGACAACCCCATTTTGTTTGATATCAAATATGTTACACGTAGTAAATGTCATCTACAGTTATTGGATTTATTCTTGGAGTTCATTTTTTCGGTCGTTTCGGTTGTTTTTTCGGCCTTTCCCGGTGTGTCCGAAAACGGAGTACGGTGTGGAAGAAAAAGCTTCGCAGGAAAATTTGGCGTTGGTGGAATAAGTTCCTTGAGACTGGCAGCGTTAACAGGGAACAAGAAAAGCAGGAAAGATGGGTACGAACGGAGCTGAAAATTGAAGAAGTTTTGTCAAAATTCGTAGAAAATCCGCATATGAGTACACGAAGTTTGACCAGAACCTAGGGAATGCCTTCACCAAGGACCATTCGACGAATTCTGATCTTCATCCTTTGTTATTGTCATCGTCGATTTTCGGGAAGGGAAATTCCACCGTATTTTTCTTCCACACCGCACTCCATTTTCGGACACACCGGGAAAGACCGAAAAAACAACCGAAAAACGACCGAAAAAATGAACTCCAAGAATAAATCCAATAACTGTAGATGACATTTACTATGTGTAACATATTTGATATCAAACAAAATGGGGTTGTCTGAGGATTCAGGTAAAAAAAGAATTTTAAAATTTGGCCAAGAACTAAAGAAGTTATAGCCAATTCAAATCGGGCCACAAAGATGCCCCACCCTGTATTTCTTTTGTTAGTTTTTTGCCAATCGTTTAACTGTGTCCCGGTGTCTTTCAAACATTTGCAACAACCGTATCCATTGCAAGAAAGCCGAATCGGACCTGTGACTATAACTATGTGAATCGGCCTTTTTCGGTAACCAAATCATTTTTGTGTTTGATCATTTTGTGACCTTTATAGTCTAACAATGATCAGTCTCTCTGCGGAAGCCGATATTATTCTCAAGGTGGGTTTATTTGAATTTTGCGAAACTTCAATTCGCTTTACCGAATTGTGGGATTAGAATGCGCGGTTTGCAAACAATCTCCTTCCCGCC